CATATCCAACAGAAACATAAGAATACGAAAGTATAGACGACGTTGAATGGGAATTTTCCAAGGCATTTGTACCACTATTATAGCTTTCAAAAAACTCGGAATGCCCTTATTTAAGATTCCAACTCAAAGGATGCTTTGGATTTGCACTCACAGTGGTAGAATATATTAGCCAATTTATACCCAGACACATCGGATATTTCAATGTGTGTATACCACACAGCAATAAAGCCGAAAACAACATTACCAATTTGATATTGCCATAGCATATCATACCTAATTCGCCAAGGATGCATACGGTGGGTGGCAAGAATCTGACCCGCGAAGAGTTAGAGGAAGTGAACAAATGGCTGCAACAAAATAGTATTAGCACTCAAAGGTTGCGTCGCGAGTTTTCCGACGTTTTGCCGCTGGCCGAAATATTTAAACGCGACTATCCGCGAATGGTTGATCTCTACAACTATCCAAAGAAGAGTAGTGTTCAGCTCAAGTTGGCCAATTGGGAGACATTTAACTTTAAAGTGTTATCCAAGTTTAATATGACGTTGACCAAAGATTTTATGGAAAAAATGGCAAATGGTGTTAGTGGTGCCGCCGAAGTCTTGTTGCATGAAGTTTTACGACTGGAAAAGCGACAACGCCTTGCAGAGCAACGAAACGCGGCAATGCGGCAAGAACATCTTTGGAAGGAAAACGATGAGGTGAAAACGGTTGTGGTCAACAAACAGGTGGGCGATGGCATAGTTCAGGTGCCACAGAAAATGATCCTATACTCGCTGTACGAGAAAATGGCACGTGATAGTCAGGCAAAGGATGTTATTATCGATACGTATCAACAACGAATAACCCACATGGAGAGTATTATTAAAATCAAAACGGAACGGATAGACGAACTTCTAATGCAGATGGGAAAACAACCTCAAAAGAGAGCTACTAGCAACGCATCCAATTGTTTTTTTGCTTACGATGGAAAGGACTCTCTAACCCAGAAGGATATATGTTCTACGCAAGTTTCATCACCTACCGATCCGGACAGCTCCACCACCTAAAAGCAATCTCGGATTCACTATTAAAAAGTTATTTATTGTTAGATTGTGGATCCAAATTACCGATTACCGGCTAAATAGATCACGAAATAGACAAAGTCTGGGCAATATATTTACATATATGTATGAATATTTGGTATATTTGGTAATCGATAGATAGTTGATAGTTAAAATATTTTGAATGGTTGTTGTAATGGAAGATCAAGGGTTGTATAAAAATTGTTGCTCTTGAAATGAAGGTAGTGAGGAACCAGAAATTAAATAAGTAATAATCGTGTTAGATACTTTTCTCAATTCTTAAGCCATTTTATTTATTTTCACATTTACAAATTATCTGTTCACACGATGTTATCACTGCATTCCATTGATATATTACCTATTAAATACTGTTTTCTGGCACTGGTTTCTTGCATTGCCTTATGGAACATCCCTTTCAGTTTTGTGTAATAGTTCCAACACTTTCTACTTTTAACTACTGCAAGTCGCATATCGCATTCCTCAATCTTACCCACCAAAATATGATCGAGATATTTTCGCAATTTTTCAAACTCCACGTATTCCCTTATTAATAGAGCTTTTTTGTTAGTTATCCAATCCTGTTTGATTGATGTGGTTATCTTTCCAATTAGGGTATTAAATTCCGCACTGTGACTGGATTCATTGTGTTGATGAGCTAGACTAATGAGTTTTAGTATTGAAGTGCACGGGTCCTTGGGTGGAAGGGGAATCTAAAGGAAGGATTAGCATAGAGGGAAAAAAAATATATATAAAGTTCCTAGTAAGCTAATTACTCCGACTTTAATATGAAACACTTTTTTTCTCATGATTCAAACTACATTTTAGATGGTTCATATTTTCAATAGTAAAATAGGAAATAATTAATATTACGAAGGAAAAAAAGCATAACAATGAAAAATACAGTCGAACTTCCATATCTCAAACTTCCCTAATTCGAATTATTTAGCGACTTTATTTCATACCAATTTGTATCCACAAGTCGAACTTCCATAACTCTAATTTCCCTATTATGTATTTTGGTCTTCTATAAGTACAAATGGTCGGTTGCCTAAAAAGTAAATATAAATTAAATGTTTGTTTTTATTTATTTATTGCCTACATACCTTTCATACCTCCTAATCTAGTTTCATGAGTTTCCAATTTATGAATTTAATGCTGAAGACTGAGTATTATTTTATAGATGCGGTGTTCCATTTTAGATTTTCTTCTTATTGGATCAAATGGCAATTGTTTTATACTAAATTAAACAAGGATAAAATATACATTTAAATTCTATGGGATGGCAGAAGGTTCCAGTTATGGAAGTTCGACTGTAATCAAATATTTTCATATCTAAAAGCATTAATACAGGTACAATTTGGCCTTATATTATAAGGCCTAATAAGATTTTATCTGGTATTTTTGTGATTTAAATTTAATATGCAAATATTTCTAAAATTCTACCAAACCTAAATATAATTTGACTTAAAGAAGTTTGAGACAGCGTTAAAATGATAACTTAATACAAGCTCACGCACCGTTTCGTTGTTTGAGCTCAGAGAATATTTTGTAACGATTAAATTCATTATCTGTTGATTACAATAATATGCAGCAAATCCTCCCATAGTACTTGTCACTAGGGTTTTCGTTTGAGTGGTGGGTGGAACTGATGGTTTAGTGTTTGTTGTATTCTGAGTTATATGGCAAATGAGGTGACTTTTTCTTATTATGTTCCACTTTTCAGTATTTGACAGAGCCAAGCCTGCAACTAGATTTTGGGCCATGTATTTATAATAATCAATACACGCTGGAGTGGATTTTGTTGCGTTCATATTTTCCAAAATTTTGTTCAGCTTAAATAAAATGATGGCTTCCAGCTCGATTCTTATTTTGTCGTAAATCGTGAAATTTGCGTACAGACTAGCTCTAATATTCCCCGGATGTTGACCCAAATGTATAGACGAGTTTATCGTACTGAATTTTTCTTTAAATTCTGCATTTTCCAAAACGTTTTCTCGAGTCGTATACCTCTTTTGAAGCTCATCAAGTCTTTTGTCGACATCCTTCCACACATTAACTTCTGTGGGCTACAAGTAAAAACTTAATACAACATTTAAGTCTTAAAGATCGAAACACGTTACCTGTGAGCTTGCTGTAAGTATAAAAATTTCCGTTGTCGATATCAATTGGCTATCACTATAAATTTCATTATTGGATTGCGATATCACATATTCGGTTGTGCCTTTTCCAGTAAAATTAATATTGGTGCTGATGTGCTCGGTCGGTTCTAACTTTGCAAATGTAAGGGTTTTATTTGAGGGTTCCTTAGACAAAAATTCAACGGTTGTATAGTACTTGGTAGTGTGTTCAGCACTTGTTTGGTTTCGTATTACTTCATGTTGGTCCGTATAAGTGTATGACTGAGATAATGTTGTTGACGTATCAATATTAGAATGCAAATATAAATTATTGGTTGTGCTTTTCTCGGTAAAATTTTCTTTGGTGCTCAATTTTGAATATGTAAGTGTTTTTGTGGGTTCCTTCGACAAAAATTCAACGGTTGTGGAGTATTTCGTAGTGTCCGTATCAGAATATGGCGGAGTAAATATTGTTGACTTATCAATATTAGAATGCAACGATAAATTCTCGATTGTGCTCTTTTCAGTAATATTTTGCTTGGTGCTTAACTTTGAAAATGTAAGGGTTTTTGTGGGTTCCTTAGACAAAAATTCAACGGTTGTGGAGTACTTGGTAGTGTGCCCAGCACTTGTTTGGTTTCGTATTGTTTCTTTATCGTCCGTATACGAATGTGGCTGAGTTAAAGTTGTTGAGTTATCAATATTGGAAGGCAACAATAAATTATTGGTTGTGCTTTTCTCGGTAAAATTTTCATTGGTGCTTAATTTTGGAAATGTAGTTGTTTTTGTGGGTTCCTTCGACAAAATTCCAACGGTTGTGGAGTATTTCGTAGTGTCCTTATCAGAATATGGCGGAGTTAATATTGTTGACTTATCAATATTAGAATGCAACGATAAATTCTCGATTGTGCTCTTTTCAGTAATATTTTGCTTGGTGCTTAACTTTGAAAATGTAAGGGTTTTTGTGGGTTCCTTAGACAAAAATTCAACGGTTGTGGAGTACTTGGTAGTGTGCCCAGCACTTGTTTGGTTTCGTATTGTTTCTTTATCGTCCGTATACGAATGTGGCTGAGTTAAAGTTGTTGAGTTATCAATATTGGAAGGCAACAATAAATTATTGGTTGTGCTTTTCTCGGTAAAATTTTCATTGGTGCTTAATTTTGGAAATGTAGTTGTTTTTGTGGGTTCCTTCGACAAAATTCCAACGGTTGTGGAGTATTTCGTAGTGTCCTTATCAGAATATGGCGGAGTTAATATTGTTGACTTATCAATATTAGAATGCAACGATAAATTCTCGATTGTGCTCTTTTCAGTAATATTTTGCTTGGTGCTTAAATTTGAAAATGTAAGGGTTTTTGTGGGTTCCTTAGACAAAAATTCAACGATTGTGGAGTACTTGGTAGTGTGCCCAGCACTTGTTTGGTTTCGTATTGTTTCTTTTTCGTCCGTATACGAATGTGGCTGAGTTAAAGATGTTGAGTTATCAATATTGGAAGGCAACAATAAATTATTGGTTGTGCTTTTCTCGGTAAAATTTTCTTTGGTGCTTAATTTTGGAAATATAGTTGTTTTTGTGGGTTCCTTCGACAAAATTCTAACGGTTGTGGAGTATTTCGTAGTGTCCGTATCAGAATATCGCTGAGTTAATATTGTTGACTTATCAATATTAGAAAAATTCTCAGTTGTGCTTTCTTCAGTAATATTTTTTTTGGTGCTTAACTTTGACAATGTAAGTGTTTTATTTGTGGGTTCCTTAGACAAAAATTCAACGGTTGTGGAGTACTTGGTATTATGTCCAGCACTTGTTTGATTTCGTATCCCTTCATGCCCAAGCGACTTCGTAGAGGAACCATTCCACTGAGTATGCTGGGAAGTAAAAATTAGGGTTTTAAAAATATCTTATTATGGTTGGTTTCAATTGTCAAATTCAGGAACATATAAGTAGGTTTCTATGTTTTCTTGGTGATAATATTAAAATACAAAAAATTTAAGATATTTAACTATACATTTACCTTTAAAGTAGTTTTTGTTGTCGGTGTACTCTTCGTAATTTTGCAATTACAAGAGCAAATATCCTCATCAGGATCAATTACGCAAGTACACAAACAAATCGGTTCTTCGGAAGTTTCAGTAGTTCCAGTTGTTAGCACATCTGAAGTCTCGGTCGTAGGAAATGTTGTAACTGCTGTTTTACTTGTATTTACTAAGAACGAGTTTGTAGTTTTCCTACTGGTGTATTCAGTTTTTTCACTATTCATTGTGGTTTTCTTAGAGCTCGTAACATCCGAGTGTATGAATATACTTGTCGATGATAATTCAGAATGAGGGCTAAGCGTATGTTTTGACTGATTTTCATCTGGTTTTGATATTAGTGTTTCAGTATTAGATTTTTGTTCTGGATAACTTTTTAGTGTAATTTCTGACTCCTTATACATAGCAGATGTGCGTATTGTCACGATTCCTTTTTTACTAAATTCATCTGAGTTTAAATTCGTTGTTTGCAATTGTTTAGTAATAGCGGAATTTGTGACACTGGCAATAAAAGAAGGGAATTTATTTGTCTGCTGCCCTTGTTCCATAGCTTTTGATTTATCAGATTTTGTTGTTCGAATTTTAGTTGTCGTGGTTTTTATTTCTGGATAAGTAAAACTTTGTAATGTATTTTCTGATCCTATATCGGTTGTATAATCTACAGAATTTACATTCGTGTCTGTTGTTATAGTTCCGGTATCCCCAAATATTGTAGTAAAACTCTTATAATTATTCATTGACTTCGTTAGGTCCCTTGTTACACTTTGTGTTATTAGTCCTACTGCACTTAATATTGTACTTGAACTTTTTGTTAGGTTACTTGGTTGAGGTATTATTTCATCTTCTGCACTCGAACTTTGAAATAAACTGATAGATGTCGATTGAGGTAGAGATTTCGAGAACTCACTTGTCCCCTTTACAATTATTTGATCTTCTTGTGCATTAGAAATCGAAATGTGCGGGTGAGCAATCGATAGTGTCCTTGTATCTTCTTGAGATGTTTTATCTTCATCTACACTTTGTCTGGAAAATATACTTTTAGTTTTAGTACTTAATTTAGGAAGTGATGTTGATAATGTCCATGGCAATTCAGTTATTTGATTTTCTTTTGCACTGGATTCTTGGTATGAAATGCTTTCTTCTGTTGTGGATTGGGGTAAAGATTTGGAAATTTCTATAGTTTCCTTTTGCATTGTTTGATTCTCTGCACTCGAAACTGTAACTAAACTATTTTCTGTTGACCCTGATTGAGGGAACGAAATCGATAGTGTCGTTGTATCTTCTTGAGATGTTTTATCTTCATCTACACTTTGACTGGAAAATATACTTTTAGTTTTTGATTGAGGAAGTGATGTTGATAATATCCATGGCACTTCTGTCATTTGATTTTCTTCTGCACTGGATTCTTGAAGTGAACTGCTTTCTTCTGTTGTAGATTGTTGTGGGAGAAAAATCGATAGTGTCCTTGCATCTTCTTGAGATGTTTTATCTTCATCTACACTTTGACTGGAAAATATACTTTTAGTTTTAGTACTTAATTGATGATGTGATGTTGATAATGTCCATGGCAATTCAGTCATTTGATTTGCTTTTGCACTGGATTCTTGGAATGAAATGGTTTCTTCTGTTGTGGATTGAGGTAAAGATTTTGAAATTTCCGTAGTTTCCTTTTGCATTGTTTGATCCTCTGCACTCGAAACTGTGAGTAAACTATTTTCTGTTGCATATGATTGAGGGAACAAGATTGATAGTGTCCTGGTATCTTCTTGAGATGTTTTATCTTCATCTACACTTCGACTGGAAAATATACTTTTAGTTTTAGTACTTAATTTAGGAAGTGATGTTGATAATGTCCATGGCAATTCAGTCATTTGATTTTCTTTTGCACTGGATTCTTGGAATGAAATGCTTTCTTCTGTTGTGGATTGGGGTAAAGATTTGGAAATTTCCATAGTTTCCTTTTGCATTGTTTGATCCTCTGCACTCGAAACTGTAACTAAACTATTTTCGGTTGAACCTGATTGAGGGAACGAAATCGATAGTGTCGTTGTATCTTCTTGAGATGTTTTATCTTCATCTACACTTTGACTGGAAAATGTACTTTTAGTTTTTAATTGAGGAAGTGATGTTGATAATGTCCATGGCAATTCAGTCATTTGATTTTCTTTTGCACTGGATTCTTTGAGGGAAATGCTTTCTTCTGTTGTGGATTGAGGTAAAGATTTTGAAATTTCCGTGGATTCCTTTCGCATTTTTTGATCCTCTGCACTCGAAACTGTAAGTAAACTATTTTCTGTTGCATATGATTGAGGGAACGAGATTGATAGTGTCCTTAGATATTCTTGAGATGCTTTATCTTCTTCTACACTTTGACTGGAAAGTATACTTTTAGTTTTTAATTGAGGAAGTGTAGTTGATAGTGCCCATGGCACTTCTGTCATTTGATTTTCTTCTCCACTGGATTGTTGAAGTGAACTGCTTTTTTCTGTTGTAGATTGTTGTGGGAGAGAAATCGATAGTGTCCTTGCATCTTCTTGAGATGTTTTATCTTCATCTACACTTTGACTGGAAAATATACTTTTAGTTTTTAATTGAAGATGTGATGTTGATAGTGCCCATGGCACTTCTGTCATTTGATTTTCTTCTGCACTGGATTCTTGAAGTGAAATGCTTTTTTCTGTTGTAGATAGTTGTGGAAGAGAAATCGATTGTGTCCATGTATCTTCTTGAGATGTTTTATCTTCTTCTACACTTTGACTGGAAAATATACTTTTAGTTTTTAATTGAGGAAGTGATGTTGATAATGTCCCTGGCACTTCTGTCATTTGATTTTCTTCTGCACTGGATTCTTGAAGTGAAATGCTTTTTTCTGTTGTAGATTGTTGTGGAAGAGAAATCGATGGTGTCCATGTATCTTCTTGAGAAGTTTTATCTTCATCTACACTTTGTCTGGAAAATAAACTTTCAGCTTTAGTACTTAATTTAGGAAGTGATGTCGATAATGCCCATTGTAATTCAGTCTTTTGATTTTCTTTTGCACTGGATTCTTGGAAGGAAATGGTTTCTTCTGTTGTGGATTGAGGTAAAGATTTTGAAATTTCCGTGGATTCCTTTTGCATTGTTTGATCCTCTGCACTCGAAACTGTAAGTAAACTATTTTCTGTTGCATATGATTGAGGGAACGAGATTGATAGTGTCCTTGTATCTTCTTGAGATGTTTTATCTTCATCTACACTTTGACTGGAAAATATACTTTTAGTTTTAGTACTTGATTGAGGAAGTGATGTTGATAGTGTCCATGTCACTTCTGTCATTTGATTTTCTTCTGCACTGGATTCTTGAAGTGAAATGCTTTTTTCTGTTGTAGATTGTTGTGGAAGAGAAATCGATTGTGTCCATATATCTTCTTGAGATGTTTTATCTTCTTCTACACTTTGACTGGAAAATATACTTTTAGTTTTTAATTGAGGAAGTGATGTTGATAATGTCCCTGGCACTTCTGTCATTTGATTTTCTTCTGCACTGGATTCTTGAAGTGAACTGCTTTCTTCTGTTGTAGATTGTTGTGGGAGAAAAATCGATAGTGTCCTTGTATCTTTTTGAGATGTTTTATCTTCTTCTACACTTTGACTGGAAAATATACTTTTAGTTTTTGATTGAGGAAGTGATGTTGATAGTGCCCATGGCACTTCTGTCATTTGATTTTCTACTGCACTGGATTCTTGAAGTGAAATGCTTTGTTCTGTTGTAGATTGTTGTGGAAGAGAAATCGATACCGTCCTTGTATCTTCTTGAGATGTTTTATCTTCATCTACACTTTGTCTGGAAAATATACTTTTAGTCTTTAATTGAGGAAGCGATGTTGATAGTGTCCATGGCATTTCTGTCATTTGATTTTCTTCTGCACTGGATTCTTGAAGTGAACTCCTTTCTTCGGTTGTATATTGTTGTGGGACAGAAATCGATACCGTCCTTGTATCTTCTTGAGATGTTTTATCTTCATCTACACTTTGTCTGGAAAATATACTTTTAGTTGTAGTACTTAATTGAGGATAAGATATTGATGGTGTCCATTGCACTTCTGTCATTTGATTTTCTTCTGCACTGTATTCTTGAAGTGAACTGCTTTCTTCTGTTGTAGATTGTTGTGGGAGTGTAATCGATAGTGTCCTTGTATCTTCTTGAGATGATTTATCTTCTTCGACACTTTGAGTGGAAAATATACTTGTAGTCTTTAATTGAGGAAGCGATGTTGATAGCGCCCATGGCACTTCTGTCATTTGATTTTCTTCTGCACTGGATTCTTGAAGTGAACTGCTTTCTTCTGTTGTAGATTGTTGTGGGGGAAAAATCGATAGTGTCCTTGCATCTTCTTGAGATGTTTTATCTTCATCTACACTTTGTCTGGAAAATATACTTTTAGTTGTAGTACTTAATTGATGAAGTAATGTTGATAATGTCCATGACAATTCAGACATTTGATTTTCTTTTGCACTGGATTCTTGGAATGAAATGCTTTCTTCTTTTGTGGATTGAGGTAAAGATTTTGAAATTACCGTAGTTTCCTTTTGCATTGTTTGATCCTCTGCACTCGAAACTGTAAGTAAACTATTTTCTGTTGCATATGATTGAGGGAACGAGATTGATAGTGTCCATGTATCTTCTTGAGATGTTTTATCTTCATCTACACTTTGTCTGAAAAATATACTTTCAGCTTTAGTACTTAATTTAGGAAGTGATGTAGATAATGCCCATTGTAATTCAGTCTTTTGATTTTCTTTTGCACTGGATTCTTGGAATGAAATGCTTTCATCTGTTGTGGATTGAGGTAAAGATTTTGAAATTTCCGTGGTTTCCTTTTGCATTGTTTGATCCTCTGCACTCGAAACTGTAAGTAAACTATTTTCTGTAGCACCTGATTGAGGAAACGAAATCGATAGTGTCATTGTATTTGCTTGAGATGTTTTATCTTCATCTACACTTTGACTGGAGAATATTCTTTTAGTTTTAGTACTTGATTGAGGAAGTGATGTTGATAGTGTCCATGTCACTTCTGTCATTTGATTTTCTTCTGCACTGGATTCTTGAGGTGAACGGATTTCTTCTGTTGTAGATTGTTGTGGGAGTGTAATCGATAGTGTCATTGTATCTTCTTGAGATGTTTTATCTTCATCTACACTTTGTCTGGAAAATATACTTTTAGTCTTTAATTGAGGAAGCGATGTTGATAGTGTCCATGGCATTTCTGTCATTTGATTTTCTTCTGCACTGGATTCCTGAAGTGAACTGCTTTCTTCTGTTGTAGATTGTTGTGGGAGAAAAATCGATAGTGTCCTTGTATCTTCTTGAGATGTTTTATCTTCTTCTACACTTTGACTGGAAAATATACTTTTAGTTTTTAATTGAGGAAGTGATGTTGATAATGTCCCTGGCACTTCTGACATTTGATTTTCTTCTGCACTGGATTCTTGGAATGAAATGCTTTCTTCTGTTGTGGATTGAGGTAAAGATTTTGAAATTTCCGTGGTTTCCTTTTGAATTGTTTGATCCTCTGCACTCGAAACTGTAAGTAAACTATTTTCTGTTGCATATGATTGAGGGAACGAGATTGATAGTGTCCTTGTATCTTCTTGAGATGTTTTATCTTCTTCTACACTTTGACTGGAAAATGTACTTTTAGTCTTCGTACTTAGTTGATGGTGTGATGTTGATAATGTCCATGGCAATTCAGACATTTGATTTTCTTTTTCACTGGATTCTTGGAATGAAATGCTTTCATCTGTTGTAAATTGAGGTAAAGATTTTGAAATTTCCGTGATTTCCTTTTGCATTGTTTGATCTATTGCACTCGAAACTGTTAGTAAACTATTTTCTATTGCATATGATTGAGGGAACGAGATTGTATATTCCTGAGATGCTTTATCTTCATCTACACTTTGACTGGAAAATATTCTTTTTGTTTTAGTACTTGATTGAGGAAGAGATGTTAATAGTGTCCATGGCACTTCTGTCATTTGATTTTTTTCTGCACTGGATTGTTGAAGTGAACTGCTTTTTTCTGTTGTAGATTGTTGTGGGAGAGAAATCGATAGTGTCCTTGTATCTTCTTTAGATGTTTTATCTTCTTCTACACTTTGACTGGAAAATATACTTTCAGCTTTAGTACTTAATTTAGGAAGTGATGTAGATAATGCCCATTGTAATTCAGTATTTTGATTTTCTTCTGCACTGGATTCTTGAAGTGAACTGCTTTCTTTTGTTGTAGATTGAGGTAAAGACTTTGAAATTTCCGTGGTTTCCTCTTGCACTGTTTGATCCTCTGCACTCGAAACTGTAAGTAAACTATTTGCTGTTGAACCTAGTTGGGGTAAAGAAATCGATATTGTCCTTGTATCTTTTTGAGATATTTCATTTTCATCTACACTTTGTCTGGAAAATATACTTTTAGTTGTAGTACTTAATTGAGGAAAAGATGTTGATGGTGTCCATTGCACTTCTGTCATTTGATTTTCTTCTGCACTGTATTCTTGAAGTGAACTGCTTTCTTCTGTTGTAGATTGTTGTGGGAGTGTAATCGATAGTGTCCTTGTATCTTCTTGAGATGATTTATCTTCTTCTACACTTTGAGTGGAAAATATACTTTTAGTCTTTAATTGAGGAAGTGATGTTGATAGTGTCCATGGCATTTCTGTCATTTGATTTTCTTCTGCACTGGATTCTTGAAGTGAACTGCTTTCTTCTGTTGTAGATTGTTGTGGGAGAGAAATCGATAGTGTCCTTGTATCTTTTTGAGATGTTTTATCTTCATCTACACTTTGTCTGGAAAATATACTTTTAGTTGTAGTACTTAATTGAGGATAAGATATTGATGGTGTCCATTGCACTTCTGTCATTTGATTTTCTTCTGCACTGGATTCTTGGAATGAAATGCTTTCCTTTGTTGTAGATTGTTGTGGGAGAGAAATCGATGGTGTCCATGTATCTTCTTGAGATGTTTTATCTTCTTCTACACTTTGACTGGAAAATATACTTTCAGCTTTAGTACTTAATTTAGGAAGTGATGTAGATAATGCCCATTGTAATTCAGTATTTTGATTTTCTTCTGCACTGTATTCTTGAAGTGAACTGCTTTCTTTTGTTGTAGATTGAGGTAAAGACTTTGAAATTTCCGTGGTTTCCTTTTGCACTGTTTGATCCTCTGCACTCGAAACTGTGAGTAAACTATTGTCTGTTGCATATGATTGAGGGAACGAGATTGATAGTGTCCATGTATCTTCTTGAGATGTTTTATCTTCATCTACACTTTGTCTGGAAAATATACTTTTAGTCTTTAATTGAGGAAGCGATGTTGATAGTGTCCATGGCATTTCTGTCATTTGATTTTCTTCTGCACTGGATTCTTGAAGTGAACTCCTTTCTTCGGTTGTATATTGTTGTGGGACAGAAATCGATACCGTCCTTGTATCTTCTTGAGATGTTTTATCTTCATCTACACTTTGTCTGGAAAATATACTTTTAGTTGTAGTACTTAATTGAGGATAAGATATTGATGGTGTCCATTGCACTTCTGTCATTTGATTTTCTTCTGCACTGTATTCTTGAAGTGAACTGCTTTCTTCTGTTGTAGATTGTTGTGGGAGTGTAATCGATAGTGTCCTTGTATCTTCTTGAGATGATTTATCTTCTTCGACACTTTGAGTGGAAAATATACTTTTAGTCTTTAATTGAGGAAGCGATGTTGATAGTGCCCATGGCACTTCTGTCATTTGATTTTCTACTGCACTGGATTCTTGAAGTGAACTGCTTTCTTCTGTTGTAGATTGTTGTGGGAGTGTAATCGATAGTGTCCTTGTATCTTCTTCAGATGATTTATCTTCTTCTACACTTTGACTGGAAAATATACTTTTAGTTTTAGTACTTAATTGATAAAGTAATGTTGATAATGTCCATGGCAATTCAGACATTTGATTTTCTTTTGCACTGGATTCTTGGAATGAAGTGATTTCTTTTGTTGTGGATTGAGGTAAAGATTTTGAAATTTCCGTGGTTTCCTTTTGAATTGTTTGATCCTCTGCACTCGACACTGTAAGTAAACTATTTTCTGTTGCATATGATTGAGGGAACGCAATCGATGGTGTCCTTGTATCTTCTTGAGATGTTTTATCTAAATATACACTTTGACTGGAAAATATACTTTTAGTTGTAGTACTTAATTGATGAAGTAATGTTGATAATGGCAATTCAGACATTTGATTTTCTTTTGCACTGGATTCTTGAAATGAAGTGATTTCTTCTGTTGTGGATTGAGGTAAAGATTTTGAAATTTCCGTTGTTTCTTTTTGCATTGTTTGATCCTCTGCACTCGAAACTGTAAGTAAACTATTTTCTGTTGCATATGATTGAGGGAACGAGATTGATAGTGTCCTTGTATCTTCTTGAGATGTTTTATCTTCTTCTACACTTTGACTGGAAAATGTACTTTTAGTCTTCGTACTTAGTTGATGGTGTGATGTTGATAATGTCCATGGCAATTCAGACATTTGATTTTCTTTTTCACTGGATTCTTGGAATGAAATGCTTTCATCTGTTGTAAATTGAGGTAAAGATTTTGAAATTTCCGTGATTTCCTTTTGCATTGTTTGATCTATTGCACTCGAAACTGTTAGTAAACTATTTTCTATTGCATATGATTGAGGGAACGAGATTGTATATTCCTGAGATGCTTTATCTTCATCTACACTTTGACTGGAAAATATTCTTTTTGTTTTAGTACTTGATTGAGGAAGAGATGTTAATAGTGTCCATGGCACTTCTGTCATTTGATTTTTTTCTGCACTGGATTGTTGAAGTGAACTGCTTTTTTCTGTTGTAGATTGTTGTGGGAGAGAAATCGATAGTGTCCTTGTATCTTCTTGAGATGTTTTATCTTCTTCTCCACTTTGACTGGAAATTATACTTTTAGTCTTAGTACTTAATGCAGGAAGTGATGTTGATAATGCCCATTGTAATTCAGTCATTTGATTTTCTTTTGCACTGGATTCTTGGAATAAAATGCTTTCCTTTGTTGTAGATTGTTGTGGGAGAGAAATCGATGGTGTCCATGTATCTTCTTGAGATGTTTTATCTTCTTCTACACTTTGACTGGAAAATATACTTTCAGCTTTAGTACTTAATTTAGGAAGTGATGTAGATAATGCCCATTGTAATTCATTATTTTGATTTTCTTCTGCACTGGATTCTTGAAGTGAACTGCTTTCTTTTGTTGTAGATTGAGGTAAAGACTTTGAAATTTCCGTGGTTTCCTCTTGCACTGTTTGATCCTCTGCACTCGAAACTGTAAGTAAAATATTTGCTGTTGAACCTAGTTGGGGTAAAGAAATCGATATTGTCCTTGTATCTTTTTGAGATATTTCATTTTCATCTACACTTTGACTGGAAAATATACTTTCAGTCTTTAATTGAGGAAGCGATGTTGATAGTGTCCATGTCACTTCTGTCATTTGATTTTCTTCTGCACTGGATTCTTGAGGTGAACGGATTTCTTCTGTTGTAGATTGTTGTGGGAGTGTAATCGATAGTGTCATTGTATCTTCTTGAGATGTTTTATCTTCATCTACACTTTGTCTGGAAAATATACTTTTAGTCTTTAATTGAGGAAGCGATGTTGATAGTGTCCATGGCATTTCTGTCATTTGATTTTCTTCTGCACTGGATTCCTGAAGTGAACTGCTTTCTTCTGTTGTAGATTGTTGTGGGAGAAAAATCGATAGTGTCCTTGTATCTTCTTGAGATGTTTTATCTTCATCTACACTTTGACTGGAAAATATACTTTTAGTTTTAGTACTTGATTGAGGAAGCGATGTTGATAGTGTCCACGGCATTTCTGTCATTTGATTTTCTTCTGCACTGGATTCTTGAAGTGAACTGCTTTCTTCTGTTGTAGATTGTTGTGGGAGAGAAATCGATACCGTCCTTGTATCTTCTTGAGATGTTTTATCTTCATCTACACTTTGTCTGGAAAATATACTTTTAGTCTTTAATTGAGGAAGCGATGTTGATAGTGTCCATGGCATTTCTGTCATTTGATTTTCTTCTGCACTGGATTCTTGAAGTGAACTGCTTTCTTCGGTTGTATATTGTTGCGGGACAGAAATCGATACCGTCCTTGTATCTTCTTGAGATGTTTTATCTTCATCTACACTTTGACTGGAAAATATACTTTTAGTTTTAGTACTTAATTGATGAAGTAATGTTGATAATGTCCATGGCAATTCAGACATTTGATTTTCTTTTGCACTGGATTCTTGGAATGAAGTGATTTCTTCTGTTGTGGATTGAGGTAAAGATTTTGAAATTTCCGTTGTTTCTTTTTGAATTGTTTGATCCTCTACACTCGAAACTGTAAGTAAACTATTTTCTGTTGCATATGAATGAGGGAACGAGATTGATAGTGTCCTTGTATTTTCTTGAGATGTATTATCTTCATCTACACTTTGTCTGGAAAATATACTTTTAGTCTTTAATTGAGGAAGCGATGTTGCTAGTGTCCATGGAATTTCTGTCATTTGATTTTCTTCTGCACTGGATTCTTGAAGTGAACTGCTTTCTTCTGTTGTAGATTGTTGTGGGAGAGAAATCGATACCGTCCTTGTATCTTCTTGAGATGTTTTATCTTCATCTACACTTTGTCTGGAAAATATACTTTTAGTCTTTAATTGAGGAAGCGATGTTGATAGTGTCCATGGGATTTCTGTCATTTGATTTTCTTCTGCACTGGATTCTTGAGGTGAACTGATTTCTTCTGTTGTAGATTGTTGTGGAAGTGTAATCGATAGTGTCCTTGTATCTTCTTGAGATGTTTTATCTTCATCTACACTTTGACTGGAAAATATACTTTTAGTTTTAGTACTTAATTGATGAAGTAATGTTGATAATGGCAATTCAGACATTTGATTTTCTTTTGCACTGGATTCTTGAAATGAAGTGATTTCTTCTGTTGTGGATTGAGGTAAAGATTTTGAAATTTCCGTTGTTTCTTTTTGAATTGTTTGATCCTCTACACTCGAAACTGTAAGTAAACTATTTTCTGTTGCATATGATTGAGGGAACGAGATTGATAGTGTCCTTGTATTTTCTTGAGATGTTTTATCTTCTTCTACACTGTGACTGGAAAATATACTTTTAGTTTTTAATTGAGGAAGTGATGTTGATAATGTCCATGTCACTTCTGTCATTTGATTTTCTTCTGCACTGGATTCCTGAAGTGAACTGCTTTTTTCTGTTGAAGATTGTTGTAGCAGAAAAATCGATAGTGTCCTTGTATCTTCTTGAGATGTTTTATCTTCATCTACACTTTGACTGGAAAATATACCTTTAGTTTTAGTACTTGATTGAGGAAGCGATGTTGATAGTGTCCACGGCATTTCTGTCATTTGATTTTCTTCTGCACTGGATTCCTGAAGTGAACTGCTTTCTTCTGTTGTAGATTGTTGTGGGAGAGAAATCGATACCGTCCTTGTATCTTCTTGAGATGTTTTATCTTCACCTACACTTTGTCTGGAAAATATACTTTTAGTCTTTAATTGAGGAAGCGATGTTGATAGTGTCCATGGCATTTCTGTCATTTGATTTTCTTCTGCACTGGATTCTTGAAGTGAACTGCTTTCTTCGGTTGTATATTGTTGTGGGACAGAAATCGATACCGTCCTTGTATCTTCTTGAGATGTTTTATCTTCATCTACACTTTGTCTGGAAAATATACTTTTAGTCTTTAATTGAGGAAGCGATGTTGATAGTGTCCATGGCATTTCTGTCATTTGATTTTCTTCTGCACTGGATTCTTGAAGTGAACTGCTTTCTTCGGTTGTATATTGTTGTGGGACAGAAATCGATACCGTCCTTGTATCTTCTTGAGATGTTTTATCTTCATCTACACTTTGACTGGAAAATATACTTTTAGTTTTAGTACTTAATTGATGAAGTAATGTTGATAATGTCCATGGCAATTCAGACATTTGATTTTCTTTTGCACTGGATTCTTGGAATGAAGTGATTTCTTCTGTTGTGGATTGAGGTAAAGATTTTGAAATTTCCGTTGTTTCTTTTTGAATTGTTTGATCCTCTACACTCGAAACTGTAAGTAAACTATTTTCTGTTGCATATGATTGAGGGAACGAGATTGATAGTGTCCTTGTTTTTTCTTGAGATGTTTTATCTTCTTCTACACTTTGACTGGAAAATATACTTTTAGTTTTTAATTGAGGAAGTGATGTTGATAATGTCCATGTCACTTCTGTCATTTGATTTTCTTCTGCACTGGATTCCTGAAGTGAACTGCTTTTTTCTGTTGAAGATTGTTGTGGGAGAAAAATCGATAGTGTCCTTGTATCTTCTTGAGATGTTTTATCTTCATCTACACTTTGACTGGAAAATATACCTTTAGTTTTAGTACTTGATTGAGGAAGCGATGTTGATAGTGTCCACGGCATTTCTGTCATTTGATTTTCTTCTGCACTGGATTCCTGAAGAGAACTGCTTTCTTCTGTTGTAGATTGTTGTGGGAGAGAAATCGATACCGTCCTTGTATCTTCTTGAGATGTTTTATCTTCATCTACACTTTGTCTGGAAAATATACTTTTAGTCTTTAATTGAGGAAGCGATGTTGATAGTGTCCATGGCATTTCTGTCATTTGATTTTCTTTTGCACTGGATTCTTGAAGTGAACTGCTTTCTTCGGTTGTATATTGTTGTGGGACAGAAATCGATACCGTCCTTGTATCTTCTTGATATGTTTTATCTTCATCTACACTTTGTCTGGAAAGTATACTTTTAGTTGTAGTACTTAATTGAGGAAGAGATGTTGATGGTGTCCATTGCACTTCTGTCATTTGATTTTCTTCTGCACTGGATTCTTGAAGTGAACTGCTTTCTTCGGTTGTATATTGTTGTGGGACAGAAATCGATACCGTCCTTATATCTTCTTGAGATGTTTTATCTTCATCTACACTTTGTCTGGAAAATATACTTTTAGTCTTTAATTGAGGAAGCGATGTTGATAGTGTCCATGGCATTTCTGTCATTTGATTTTCTTCTGCACTGGATTCTTGAAGTGAACTGCTTTCTTCGGTTGTATATTGTTGTGGGACAGAAATCGATACCGTCCTTGTATCTTCTTGAGATGTTTTATCTTCACCTACACTTTGACTGGAAAATATACTTTTAGTTTTAGTACTTAATTGATGAAGTAATGTTGATAATGTCCATGGCAATTCAGACATTTGATTTTCTTTTGCACTGGATTCTTGGAATGAAGTGATTTCTTCTGTTGTGGATTGAGGTAAAGATTTTGAAATTTCCGTGGTTTCCTTTTGAATTGTTTGATCCTCTGCACTCGACACTGTAAGTAAACTATTTTCTGTTGCATATGATTGAGGGAACGCAATCGATGGTGTCCTTGTATCTTCTTGAGATGTTTTATCTAAATATACACTTTGACTGGAAAATATACTTTTAGTTGTAGTACTTAATTTAGGAAGTGATGCTGATAATGCCCATTTTAATTCAGTAACTTGATTTTCCTTTACACTGGATACTTGGAATGAAATGCTTTCTTCTGTTGTGGATTGAGGTAAAGATTTTGAAATTTCCGTTGTTTCTTTTTGCATTGTTTGATCCTCTACACTCGAAACTGTAAGTAAACTATTTTCCGTTGCATATGATTGAGGGAACGAGATTGATAGTGTCCTTGTATTTTCTTGAGATGTTTTATCTTCTTCTACACTTTGACTGGAAAATATACTTTTAGTTTTTAATTGAGAAAGTGATGTTGATAATGTCCATGTCACTTCTGTCATTTGATTTTCTTCTGCACTGGATTCCTGAAGTGAACTGCTTTCTTCTGTTGTAGATTGTTGTGGGAGAGAAATCGATACCGTCCTTGTATCTTCTTGAGATGTTTTATCTTCACCTACACTTTGTCTGGAAAATATACTTTTAGTCTTTAATTGAGGAAGCGATGTTGATAGTGTCCATGGCATTTCTGTCATTTGATTTTCTTCTGCACTGGATTCTTGAAGTGAACTGCTTTCTTCGGTTGTATATTGTTGTGGGACAGAAATCGATACCGTCCTTGTATCTTCTTGAGATGTTTTATCTTCATCTACACTTTGTCTGGAAAATATACTTTTAGTCTTTAATTGAGGAAGCGATGTTGATAGTGTCCATGGCATTTCTGTCATTTGATTTTCTTCTGCACTGGATTCTTGAAGTGAACTGCTTTCTTCGGTTGTATATTGTTGTGGGACAGAAATCGATACCGTCCTTGTATCTTCTTGAGATGTTTTATCTTCATCTACACTTTGACTGGAAAATATACTTTTAGTTTTAGTACTTAATTGATGAAGTAATGTTGATAATGTCCATGGCAATTCAGACATTTGATTTTCTTTTGCACTGGATTCTTGGAATGAAGTGATTTCTTCTGTTGTGGATTGAGGTAAAGATTTTGAAATTTCCGTTGTTTCTTTTTGAATTGTTTGATCCTCTACACTCGAAACTGTAAGTAAACTATTTTCTGTTGCATATGATTGAGGGAACGAGATTGATAGTGTCCTTGTTTTTTCTTGAGATGTTTTATCTTCTTCTACACTTTGACTGGAAAATATACTTTTAGTTTTTAATTGAGGAAGTGATGTTGATAATGTCCATGTCACTTCTGTCATTTGATTTTCTTCTGCACTGGATTCCTGAAGTGAACTGCTTTTTTCTGTTGAAGATTGTTGTGGGAGAAAAATCGATAGTGTCCTTGTATCTTCTTGAGATGTTTTATCTTCATCTACACTTTGACTGGAAAATATACCTTTAGTTTTAGTACTTGATTGAGGAAGCGATGTTGATAGTGTCCACGGCATTTCTGTCATTTGATTTTCTTCTGCACTGGATTCCTGAAGTGAACTGCTTTCTTCTGTTGTAGATTGTTGTGGGAGAGAAATCGATACCGTCCTTGTATCTTCTTGAGATGTTTTATCTTCATCTACACTTTGTCTGGAAAATATACTTTTAGTCTTTAATTGAGGAAGCGATGTTGATAGTGTCCATGGCATTTCTGTCATTTGATTTTCGTTTGCACTGGATTCTTGAAGTGAACTGCTTTCTTCGGTTGTATATTGTTGTGGGACAGAAATCGATACCGTCCTTGTATCTTCTTGATATGTTTTATCTTCATCTACACTTTGTCTGGAAAGTATACTTTTAGTTGTAGTACTTAATTGAGGAAGAGATGTTGATGGTGTCCATTGCACTTCTGTCATTTGATTTTCTTCTGCACTGGATTCTTGAAGTGAACTGCTTTCTTCGGTTGTATATTGTTGTGGGACAGAAATCGATACCGTCCTTGTATCTTCTTGAGATGTTTTATCTTCATCTACACTTTGTCTGGAAAATATACTTTTAGTCTTTAATTGAGGAAGCGATGTTGATAGTGTCCATGGCATTTCTGTCATTTGATTTTCTTCTGCACTGGATTCTTGAAGTGAACTGCTTTCTTCGGTTGTATATTGTTGTGGGACAGAAATCGATACCGTCCTTGTATCTTCTTGAGATGTTTTATCTTCATCTACACTTTGACTGGAAAATATACTTTTAGTTTTAGTACTTAATTGATGAAGTAATGTTGATAATGTCCATGGCAATTCAGACATTTGATTTTCTTTTGCACTGGATTCTTGGAATGAAGTGATTTCTTCTGTTGTGGATTGAGGTAAAGATTTTGAAATTTCCGTGGTTTCCTTTTGAATTGTTTGATCCTCTGCACTCGACACTGTAAGTAAACTATTTTCTGTTGCATATGATTGAGGGAACGCAATCGATGGTGTCCTTGTATCTTCTTGAGATGTTTTATCTAAATATACACTTTGACTGGAAAATATACTTTTAGTTGTAGTACTTAATTTAGGAAGTGATGCTGATAATGCCCATTTTAATTCAGTAACTTGATTTTCCTTTACACTGGATACTTGGAATGAAATGCTTTCTTCTGTTGTGGATTGAGGTAAAGATTTTGAAATTTCCGTTGTTTCTTTTTGCATTGTTTGATCCTCTACACTCGAAACTGTAAGTAAACTATTTTCCGTTGCATATGATTGAGGGAACGAGATTGATAGTGTCCTTGTATTTTCTTGAGATGTTTTATCTTCTTCTACACTTTGACTGGAAAATATACTTTTAGTTTTTAATTGAGAAAGTGATGTTGATAATGTCCATGTCACTTCTGTCATTTGATTTTCTTCTGCACTGGATTCTTGAAGTGAACTGCTTTTTTCTGTTGAAGATTGTTGTGGGAGAAAAATCGATAGTGTCCTTGTATCTTCTTGAGATGTTTTATCTTCATCTACACTTTGACTGGAAAATATACTTTTAGTTTTAGTACTTGATTGAGGAAGCGATGTTGATAGTGTCCACGGCATTTCTGTCATTTGATTTTCTTCTGCACTGGATTCTTGAAGTGAACTGCTTTCTTCTGTTGTAGATTGTTGTGGGAGAGAAATCGATACCGTCCTTGTATCTTCCTGAGATGTTTTATCTTCATCTACACTTTGTCTGGAAAATATACTTTTAGTCTTTAATTGAGGAAGCGATGTTGATAGTGTCCATGGCATTTCTGTCATTTGATTTTCTTTTGCACTGGATTCTTGAAGTGAACTGCTTTCTTCGGTTGTATATTGTTGTGGGACAGAAATCGATACCGTCCTTGTATCTTCTTGATATGTTTTATCTTCATCTACACTTTGTCTGGAAAGTATACTTTTAGTTGTAGTACTTAATTGAGGAAGAGATGTTGATGGTGTCCATTGCACTTCTGTCATTTGATTTTCTTCTGCACTGTATTCTTGAAGTGAACTGCTTTCTTCTGTTGTAGATTGTTGTGGGAGTGTAATCGATAGTGTCCTTGTATCTTCTTGAGATGATTTATCTTCTTCTACACTTTGAGTGGAAAATATACTTTTAGTCTTTAATTGATGAAGCGATGTTGATAGTGTCCACGGCATTTCTGTCAGTTGATTTTCTTCTGCACTGGATTCCTGAAGTGAACTACTTTTTTCTGTTGAAGATTGTTGTGGGAGAAAAATCGATAGTGTCCTTGTACCTTCTTGAGATGTTTTATCTTCATCTACACTTTGACTAGAAAATATACTTTTAGTTTTAGTACTTGATTGAGGAAGTGATGTTGATAATGTCCATGGCACTTCTGTCATTTGATTTTCTTCTGCACTGAATTCTTGAAGTGAACTGCTTTCTTTTGTTGTAGATTGAGGTAAAGACTTTGAAATTTCCGTGGTTTCCTTTTGCACTGTTTGATCCTCTGCACTCGAAACTGTAAGTAAACTATTTGGTGTTGAACCTAGTTGAGGTAAAGAAATCGATATTGTCCTTGTATCTTTTTGAGATGTTTCATTTTCATCTACACTTTGACTGGAAAATATACTTTCAGTTTTAGTACTTAACTTAGTAAGAGATGTTGATAGTGTCCATGGCACTTCTGTCATTTTATTTCCTTCTGCACTGGATTCATGAAGTAAACTGCTTTCTTCTGTTGTAGATAGTTGTGGGAGAAAAATCGATACCGTCCTTGTATCTTCTTGAGATGTTTTATCTTCTTCTAAACTTTGACTGGAAAATATACTTTTAGTCTTCAATTGAGGATGCGATGTTGATAGTGTCCATGGCATTTCTGTCATTTGATTTTCTTCTGCACTGGATTCTTGAGGTGAACTGATTTCTTCTGTTGTAGATTGTTGTGGGAGTGTAATCGATAGTGTCCCTGTATTTTCTTGAGATGTTTTATCTTCATCTACACTTTGACTGGAAAATATACTTTTAGTTTTAGTACTTAATTGATGAAGTGATGTTGATAATGTCCATGGCAATTCAGACATTTGATTTTCTTCTGCACTGGATTCTTGGAATGAAATGCTTTCTTCTGTTGTGGATTGAGGTAAAGATTTTGAAATTTCCGTAGTTTCCTTTTGAATTGTTTGATCCTCTGCACTCGACACTGTAAGTAAACTATTTTCTGTTGCATATGATTGAGGGAACGCAATCGATGGTGTCCTTGTATCTTCTTGAGATGTTTTATCTAAATATACACTTTGACTGGAAAATATACTTTTAGTTGTAGTACTTAATTTAGGAAGTGATGCTGATAATGCCCATTTTAATTCAGTAACTTGATTTTCCTTTACACTGGATACTTGGAATGAAATGCTTTCTTCTGTTGTGGATTGAGGTAAAGATTTTGAAATTTCCGTTGTTTCCTCTTGCATTGTTTGAACTTTGGCACTCGGAATTTTAAGTAAACTGTTTGCTACTGTAAATGATTGATAGACAGAAATCGGTGATGCACTTGCTGTTTCACCGTCCGAGGCTTCTGAAGTGCTTCCCTTAGGGTTGCATTCGCAGATACACGAGTCTTTTCCTATTTCAAATTGGCAAGTACAATCACAGCCATGAAAACGTGATTGTTTAAACTGAAAACTAGATATTGTACTTAAAAAAGGTAAAGACATTGACTGTTGCTCCTTTTCCTCTAGCGTCAACTGACCTATTCCTGTGGTCGGTATTTTTAGTAGTCCACTAGATGTTGTACTCAATTGGAGTGGAGATTTTGATACCTTTCCTACTTCGTCTTGCTTTGTGTGATCTTTCTCTGTGGTTGAAATGTTGATTAGACCACTTAATACTGTGCTTAATGGAGGAACAGATTCCGATTGATTTTCCATTTCGTTTTGGGATGTTTGATAATGCCCTGTACTCGAAATTGGTAATGATGTCGATAGATTTGTAGTTTTCTCTTTGGTATTTGTATTTTCTAGTGTACCTTCATGTGAAGAAAGCTTTGAAGACTCTTCGCTTGACTTTATTTGGCTTTCTGTTAAAATAGATACATCAATAGAAATGGGATCTGTCATACAGTTGCATGTACACGAGTCATTTCCTTGTTCTAATAGGCAAGTGCATTCGCAAACATTATGTGTCGATGGTTTACTGTTTGTCATGGGCCCTTTTATTTCCAAGGATGAGAGCTCCGATGGCATTGTGGTTTTATTACCAGTAACACCAGCTCCTTTAGTTGTGATGTCTTCAATACTGAAGGGTTCTGGATTCGCCTCTGTGAGTAAAGAAGTACCATTTCCTTCCTGTTTTGGGATATTATCTTTCACACTGTGGATTTCTTCATTCGTTGCTGTGGGTGATGACGGGTTGGATCCACTTGCCGTGACTTCTGAAGTGCTCCCTTTTAGGTTGCATTCGCAGATACACGAGTCTTTTTCTATTTCCAATTGGCAAGTACAATCACAGCCGTGAAAACTTGATTGTTCAAATTGAAAACTTGATACTGTACTTAGGAAAGGTAAAGACTTTGACTGTTGCTCATTTTCCTCTAGCGTTAAGTGGTTTATTCCTGTGGTCGGTATTTTTAGTAGTCCACTAGATGTTGTACTCAATTGGAGTGGAGATTTTGATAAGTTTTGTACGTCGTCCAGCGGTGAGTGACTTTTGTCTGTGGTTGAAATGTTGATTAGAGCACTAAATACTGTGCTTAATGGAGGTACAGATTCCGATTGATTTACCATTTCGTTTTGGGATATTTGATAATGCCCTGTACTCGAAATTGGTAATGATGCCGATAGATTTGTAGTTTTCTCTTTGGTATTTGTATTTTCTAGTGTACTTTTATATGAAAAAAGCTTTGAAGAGTACTGAAGATCTTCGCTTGACTTTATTTGGCTTTCTGTTAACATAGATACATCAATAGAAATGAGATCTGTTATACAGTTGCATGTACACGAGTCATTTCCTTGTTCTAATAGGCAAGTGCAATCGCAAACATTATGTGTTGATGGTTTACTGTTTGTCATGGGCTCTATTATTTCCAAGGATGAGAGCTCCGATGGCATTGTGATTTTATTACCAGTAACACCAGCTCCTTTAGTTGTGATGTCTTCAATACTGAAGGGTTCTGGATTCGCCTCTGTGAGTAAAGAAGTACCATTTCCTTCCTGTTTTGGGATATTATCTTTCACACTGTGGATTTCTTCATTCGTTGCTGTGGGTGATGACGGGTTGGATCCACTTGCCGTGACTTCTGAAGTGCTCCGTTTTTGTTTGCATTCGCAGATACACGAGTCTTTTCCTATTTCCAATTGGCAAGTACAATCACAGCCGTGAAAACTTGATTGTTCAAATTGAAAACTAGATATTGTACTTAAAAAAGGTAAAGACATTGACTGTTGCTCCTTTTCCTCTAGCGTCAACTGACCTATTCCTGTAGTCGGTATTTTTAGTAGTTCACTAAATGTTGTACTCAATTGGAGTGGAGATTTTGATACCTTTCCTACTTCGCCTTGCTTTGTGTGATCTTTCTCTGTGGTTGAAATTTTGATTATACCACTAAAGGTGCTTAATGGAGGTACAGATTCCGATTGATTTCCCATTTCGTTTTGGGATATTTGATAATGCCCTGTACTCGAAATTGGTAATGATGCCGATAGATTTGTAGTTTTCTCTTTGGTATTTGTATTTTCTAGTGTACTTTTATATGAAAAAAGCTTTGAAGAGTACTGAAGATCTTCGCTTGACTTTATTTGGCTTTCTGTTAACATAGATACATCAATAGAAATGAGATCTGTTATACAGTTGCATGTACACGAGTCATTTCCTTGTTCTAATAGGCAAGTGCAATCGCAAACATTATGTGTTGATGGTTTACTGTTTGTCATGGGCTCTATTATTTCCAAGGATGAGAGCTCCGATGGCATTGTGGTTTTATTACAAGTAACACCAGCTCCTTTAGTTGTGATGTCTTCAATACTGACGGGTTCTGGACTCGCCTCTGTGAGTATAGAAGTACCATTTCCTTCCTGTTTTGGGATATTATCTTTCACACTGTGGATTTCTTCATTCGTTGCTGTGGATAATGACGGGTAGGATCCACTTGCCGTGACTTCTAAAGTGCTCCGTTTTTGTTTGCATTCGCAGATACACGAGTCTTTTCCTATTTCCAATTGGCAAGTACAATCACAGCCGTGAAAACTTGATTGTTCAAATTGAAAACTTGATACTGTACTTAGGAAAGGTAAAGACTTTGCCTGTTGCTCAATTTCCTCTAGCGTTAAGTGGTTTATTCCTGTAGTCGGTATTTTTAGTAGTCCACTAGATGTTGTACTCAATTGGAGTGGAGATTTTGATTCCTTTCCTACTTCGCCTTGCTTTGTGTGATCTTTCTCTGTGGTTGAAATTTTGATTAGACCGCTAAAGGTGCTTAATGGAGGTACAGATTCCGATTGATTTACCATTTCGTTTTGGGATATTTGATAATGCCCTGTACTCGAAATTGGTAATGATGCCGATAGATTTGTAGTTTTCTCTTTGGTATTTGTATTTTCTAGTGTACTTTTATATGAAAAAAGCTTTGAAGAGTACTGAAGATCTTCGCTTGACTTTATTTGGCTTTCTGTTAACATAGATACATCAATAGAAATGAGATCTGTTATACAGTTGCATGTACACGAGTCATTTCCTTGTTCTAATAGGCAAGTGCAATCGCAAACATTATGTGTTGATGGTTTACTGTTTGTCATGGGCTCTATTATTTCCAAGGATGAGAGCTCCGATGGCATTGTGATTTTATTACCAGTAACACCAGCTCCTTTAGTTGTGATGTCTTCAATACTGAAGGGTTCTGGATTCGCCTCTGTGAGTAAAGAAGTACCATTTCCTTCCTGTTTTGGGATATTATCTTTCACACTGTGGATTTCTTCATTCGTTGCTGTGGGTGATGACGGGTTGGATCCACTTGCCGTGACTTCTGAAGTGCTCCCTTTTAGGTTGCATTCGCAGATACACGAGTCTTTTCCTATTTCCAATTGGCAAGTACAATCACAGCCGTGAAAACTTGATTGTTCAAATTGAAAACTTGATATTGAACTTAAGAAAAACATTGACTGTTGCTCCTTTTCCTCTAGCGTTAAGTAGCCTATTCCTGTAGTCGGTATCTTTGGTGGTCTACTAGATGTTGTACTCAAGTGGTGTGGAGATTTTGATACCTTTTCTACGTCGTCTAGTGTTGAGTGATTTTTGTCTGTGGTTGAAATTTTGATTAGACCACTAAATACTGTGCTTAATGGAGGTGCAGATTGCGATTGACTTCCCTTTTCCTTTTGGGTTTTTTCATATGGTTCCCCTGAGGGTTTTTGGAATGTTGTTAAAAACTTTCTTGTTTTCTCTTTGTAATTTTCATTTTGCTGTGTACTTTTCTGAAGATCTTCGCTTGACTTTATTTGGCTTTCTGTTAACATAGATACATCAATATAAATGGGATCTGTCATACAGTTGCATGTACACGAGTCCTTTTCTTGTTCTAATAGGCAAGTGCATTCGCAAACATTATATGTTGATGGCTTACTGCTTGACATAGGTTCTATTATTTCCAAGAATGAATGCTCCGATGGCTTTGTGGTTTTATTACCAGTAACACCATCACCCTTAGTTGTGGCATCTCTAATACTAAAGAGTTCTGGACTCGCCGCTGTGAGTAAGGAAGTACCATTTGGGGCATAATATTTCATGCTGTGGAGCTCTCGATTTGTTTCTGTCAGTAATGACTGGGTAGATGCACTTGCCGTTACACTTTTCGTGTCGTCTGCAGTGCTATCTATAAGGTTACATTTGCATATACACGAATCTTTGCCTGCTTCCAATTTGCAAGTACAATCGCATACATCAGGACTGATTGATTTTGTACTTAGCAGAGGTAAGGTTTCAGACTGTTTAATTTTTTCTGTTGGATGATCTCTTTCTGTGGTCGACATTGTGAGTAGAGCACCGGGCAGTATACCAACCTGGGATGAAGCCTTTGGTTGTTGTACTACTTCCTTTTGAGGTGTTATTGAATTTATGTGGTGTATAGGTTTTGATAGTTTCGTTGTTTCTGTTCGTGTCAATAGATCTTTTTTCGTATTCGGCTGCTCTTTCATCGTCGAAAATGGCATTGAACTACCGAATATAGAACGCGACTCTGGTAGAACTTCCGAAAGTTCTGTTATTGCACTGTCTGTTATTGCACTCAACTTTAGTAGAGATTCCAATCGATTCGATGATTTTTGAAATTGACCTATTTCTGTAGTGGAAAATGGTGACACTATACTCGAGTTTTGCTTTTCCTCACGAGTAAGTTGATCCTTTTCCGTTGGTATTATTGCAGCTTTTTTCGTAGTCGAAATGTGTAATGAAGGCCCTGACATTTGATTCAACCGAAGTGGAGTTTTAGATTGTTTCGTTCGCTCAATAGTGGTTTCAATATGTGCACCAGTTGAACATTCTATACATTCAGGTGATGTATATCCAGTTAGATCTGAGTTCGGTTTAGGAGCGCTCCTGAAAGTTGTTGTTTCATATTCATATATAATCATTGTTATTATTTCTGTAAAGTAGTCAAATATGATTATCTTTTCATCTGAAACTGGCGACTCAATTGTTGTTGCGATGTATTCACTTTTCGGGTATTTTATACTAGCACTTGATGGTGATACAAAGTCAGAGCACTCCTCACATCCTTCCTCCGATGAGGAATTTGTACTCATTACCTCAGTTAAATCAGTGCAAAATTCGCAGATGGAGTCTGGACTTGTTGTTGTATCAATCGAAATTCTTGGCTTTGTTGCTAATATGGAATTGCTTGTACTAGGCGGCATGATTTCAGTTGATACCAATTCAGAGCATGCTATACAGATTTCTTCCGAAGAGGGAGATATCTCTGTGCATAGGTCACAGGAGGTGCTTGAAATTTCTGTAGTATCTTTAGGAGAGTTATATGATTGATTGATTGTATTAAAAACTGCTTCATGCTCCATAATATAATTTGAAACATACCGTACAAATTTATTACTGACTTCAGTATGAGTAGATTCATTTAATACGTTTGAGCTTAGAGAAGCACATTCCTCGCAGGTTTCTGCAGAATCGAAAAGATTTGTTGTTTCATCTAATGCTTCAGAGCACAATTCACAAGTTGAAGTTGAGTCCGAAATTGAAAAATTTATTGCATTGATTATTGGAGTCGTTTCCATTTGTAACAATCTTTGGTTTCTGGCATATCTCACTAAATTCTGCATTCTTGTGAATGTTGAGGGAAAAGTGTCCTTAATGGGTTCAATCGATCTGGTATTTTTCAATTGGGTATTGCTGATGTTTTTTCTTTTAACTATATGATTTAATTTGCGTTCTTTGCTTATGGACATTGTTAAGTTTTTCCATACATGTATATATTTATCTTTCAAATTGGTTTCATTATGTATTTTCAATAGTTCTCGTGAAGCGAAATTTTTTCTGTTATTTTTTAAATAGTCTAAATTATCGGATAGTTCGGGTGTTTCGGTTGCCGACAAATATTCAAAAAAATCAGCTTTTCTCATTTTGTTTGCTTGCACTTCCTCTAGAGGCATATTTAATATTAAAATCCTTCGTTTTTGAATCAATAAAAAGAATCGTAGTATTCTTGAGTTAAGGTGAAGCGTTTGTTTAGCCAGTTTGAGGTCCATTGAATTCCATAATTTGTTAGCAATAATCCAACTGCTCATTTTTTGAAAATGTTTACATTTAAATTGGGGATTTTGCACCTTAGAATACATTTTTAATGTTATCAGTTAACTACAAATACTTTATTTTCCACAAAACTCACCCTTTCCGAACGACTTTTTATATATATATTTCCAAGTAGGTTCCTTGCGCTTGGAAAAGATTCAATTATGAATTCAAATAAAATGCATCGCCTTAAAGTACTTTTCTTACTTATAAATAGCATAAAACACTGTAATTGTTTTCTATTATCTAAGGTCTGCAGATTTTTAAGGACTATGGCACTCCGCGAAAAGTTTTCTGTTCTTGTAATACGACTTAATGACACGACTAATTTTTTTTCGTAATTTTTACTTAAAAGTCTTTTCTTAAAAATCAGTTCTTGGTTTAACTCTATATACGGTTTATTAATTGATTTATCCGTATTAAGCTTGCTGATCATGGAGTTACCTATTCGTAGATTATGTTTGAAGATATCGTCCGTTAAATATTTCTGGATTAATTAAATTTGTTGACTTAAAGGATATTGTTTTTAATTCAGTCTCACAACTTACCCATAATAAGTGATAGTTCCATGCTGGAAAATGGTTGAAAACTGTATTCCGCCAGCTTAGAAGTGTATTTAAGAAGTTTGTTTGATAAATACTTTTAAATGTGGTTTCTGAAGTAATCTTGGCCTTCATGAACTTATAATTATCAATGTAGTGTGCACAGCATTTTTTATTAGGTTTATTATTTAATGATATATTGCCCATTTTTCGAAATCGATTGGTTGGCCTAGTATTATTAAAGTCAGCAAAACATGTATCATGCGAAGCCAATGGTTTGAATAAATATAAGAAAAAGGCAAAGTTCAGATTAGAATCTGGATCCTTAACGCAAAGTATTCTTTTCGGATTATATATGTGTCCTGTAAATAAAAAAAATTGGGGATTTTTGCAATCAGATATTTGGTTACGCACCTGCGAAAATATAAATAACAAATGCGAGAGTTATCCAAAAACCGGTTAATAACTGCATTATGAAGCTTACTTTATAAATTGTGTTTTCACTTTTGCTAGAGGTAAAACTGGCAAGGTTTTCATTGATAAATAATTATTTTAAATTTGCATTTTTATGCCCCATTATTTCAGAACAGACGCTTAAATGCAATTTGTTACAACTCTCAACTACTAACAATAAAATACATGCTTCGTAATTTAGGAAGTGTATAGCATATTACTAGTTTTAACGCGACAAACGTACTAGTTTAAAACAAGTTTTTATTTGAATAAAACGCGTAATAGAATCGGTAAATTCACTTAACTAAAACTCATAGCTATAACATACAAGTGCTCATATATTAAATTTTAGTCGTATAAACACAAACATTCGGGCTTACGAATTTTACAATTCTATACCCTGAAGGAATTTAGAATACAATACTACTGATTTAATAATGCTGGAAAGTTGGAAATATATAAATATATACAAGTAGCAACTAAATTAAAGACGAACTCAAGTGTCGTCAGGTTTTGTCTCCACAATGTGACTTATTATCGGTATATCTTCAACCTTTGTAAAGTTGGCCAATGAATCGCCATTAAGTATGCTCTCGATATAGTCATGTCTGAACTTTTCCCACTTTCGTGTCTTGAGAAAGTTCTTGAACAAAGCCTCTCTGGTTGGAATATTGCACTCGATATAGAAACGCTGTCGCTGCCAAACGTTGCCAGGATTTTGGGCGGCCTCAAAGAGCCAAAAGCGTGGTATTACGATGCACTGCACCGTGGTCCTTGCCATAATCACACGATGATCCATCTTCTCGCCCAACCCAAAAATTCCTCCGAATGTCAGTGAGCCTACGTCAATAAAATGCGTTTCGAATCGTTCCATGCCGATTGTTTCGTTGACAGTTCTCCGAAGCGAATTGCTGGAGGCAGTGAATATTTCGGTACCCTCCGATTCGCTCTCGAATTCGCCAGTTTCGCTGACATATGCTGAAATTGGCGTCTGCATTCCAGAATTCTCACTATACCGTTCCTCGCTATGATCCTCAGATGTGTAGCATGATTCATCGCTCTCGCCCATTATGTAATGTTCATACTGCTCCCGCTTCATCTGACGTTCTGCGTCCCGCACACGCTGTCGCAATCGCAGCCGTTGTCGTGCTGTCTCCTTGGTAGATCTCCTAGGCAGCGGTTTCTTCAATTCATCGCAGGCCCGTTGTATCTCCTGAAGACCCATTTTGCGAAGCTGTCAAATAAGAAAGGAAGCACACGGTGTTACAAAAATAATCTTAATAAGAAGGCATTCATGAGATCCATAAAGATCTCATGTGGTTGATTTCGATGCACTGATTCCAAATCTGACTGCGAAAATGATTACCAAAACTCATTGTATTTGGTGAATCAGATGTGGGAAGACCCTGAGAGGTATACACAATACCTACAGCGATTATATTTTGCACTCTATGATATGTATTTGAGCGTTTGGTGGCAACATTTCATGGCAATGGCTCACTGATAACCGATTCGAATACAAAGCTCACCTTCCTTTTCTTGCTCTTTTTGTTCTCATCCAGCGATGAACTGGATTGCATGTACTCGTTAACATCAAAATACGTATCGTTATTGGCTTTGGAGTCATCTTCCAAGGCAGGTTCAGTTCCCCTTTTATGAACCTTTGGCAGCTCGAATACCTTCTCCCGGTTAACCATGCTGACCTGCGACGGAGAAAAAGAGACTATATAATTGTGCCAAATTGGAGATTTCTGGCAGATAGCACACCTTCATGTGAAGGCATTGTAGGATCACACATTCCCCGCTAAGCACAAAATAGACATAGCTCATGGTGCCCAAATCTTCGGTGTAGATCGTCTCCAAAGGCTCGAACTGCTGAATGGTTCCGTACTTACTGGCATTCACAATCTAACAAAAAAGTTGCACCATAACTCGTCTTTAATTACAATACTTGCTGCTACCTGCTCTTCGTTGAGAAAGTTAAAATAGTCAAGGGCCCGCAAAGCATCCTTCTTTTCCTGCCACATCTTTTGCATAAAAGGTAAGAGAACAGATTTATAATTCTTATTGAATATAGCCAGCAATTCGCAATTAGCTGTAAGAACCAGATGCAATTAGGTTGCAGCAAACACACTATTTAGTCTTACTTGTGGCGGTATAAGTGTTGGTTCTGGGGGCATCTTCCATCACATCAATATCCCCAATACAATCCCCGGGTCCAAAAATAGCCTCCGATTGCAGCTCCTGACGATTGCAGCCCTAGGAATTATCAAGTATATATCAAAACATATCATTTCTATCATATAACACGATTAAGTATGGTTTTCATAAAGCAAACAAAGCATATGTATAAGAATGTATTATAGTTCATTTTGATAGTTTACCTTATTGAATACGTTCTTAGACATTTCCACCTCTCCGGCGAGTATAAAATAAATCGTTATGGGAAAATCTCCCTCTTTCATGACAATACGTCCGGGAGTTATTGCCATGAATTTGACAATCGGAACCAGACGAGCACGGACTTTCTGCGATGGATAACAGGTCGTATAAGATTTATACATACAAATGTAAATTCAAATATACTACCCACTGGGGAAAATTTTGAAAAGCAAGCCAGATTGGCCACTATGTTGCACAGCTTTTTTCTTTCCTCGACGGTACGCGTGGCATGCGGAGTGCGTAGCAGCGATTTCTCCTGAAGCAAGCAAAATAACAAATTTTAGGTCTGGATGAAAATAGTTTCATTGGACTTACGGCCATGGTCACCATGCCCACTTTTCGCTTTTGCCGAACCAACATGGCAACGTTCTTCTTCACGTTCAGCGAAATTCCCGTATCCTCAGGCAGCTCACTTAGCCACTGCATATTCAGTATCACGGCTCGGACGAGCTTCTTGAACCGATTCTTGGCCATTCTTTTTCCAAGGCCATCGAGGCCATCGCGTTGGCGCTTAGACATGATCAGTCTGGGATGCCACAGAGGTTGTCGATCTGTTCAGTTCAAAGTATTGTACCCAATGGATACTATCCATATAACATTATTCAAATGACAACGATTTGGGTTCGCCGCCTGCTGTCTAGTTAAGCTTGCAAATGTACAAATATATAACATAAAATAAACTTTATTTATATACATAATTATGTTTTTTTTCATCCTATTTCAGATTTTTGGTTTTGTACGCTCATAAAATGTTCGTTATTTTAAAAAGAAATACACATATGAATCCGGAATAACTATTATTTGTATTTCTTTAAAATATAATATTTAATGGTGCTAAAAAATAACGATTATAATCGATATTTCTCCCCCTGAATATAATTTTTAGCTGCACTTGCTTGCGCTATCTTGACGCACATCCATTCGATTAACTCGGTATGTGGTATATTTTGTATGCTCACTGCGTTCACACTGCGCACAATTGAATTCTATCGTTGGCTGTGGCTATCGGTACGGAAGAAATTTTAGTTCGTTTTAAACATGAATAACATAAATTAAGCAAACAAAAGAGAGCAGTTCCCAAGAGCGCGATTTATTTTAGTTTTTAGTTTTAGTTCGGTGCTGCTGTGCAATGTAAAGTATATACAAGAAAATATTTACACATGCGCATTAACCGATATATGTTCTGTGTAGATGGTTTTTTTTTTTGTTAACCATATGAAAGAGAATTAAATGGTTGTGTTAATGATTCATTTACAAAGGAACCCCGAACCGAACACAGCTCAGAATTTGTGAATCAAATGCCAATGAGTGTATTTGTCCCGCATGAGAGGAGTATAATAAAGAAGGCGGCGACGATGTTGCTGATGATGATGATGTTGATGATGATATGATGACTTCGGGTCGTGTATGTATGAAGAAATGAACCGAATGATTTTTTGTGTTCGGCTCGTTTGGCAAAAGGGCTTAGCCTAAAGTTTGTGTGTGGTGTGCTGTGGTGTGCTGTGGTGTGCGGCTTGTGTTTTAGATAGATGTTGATGTACAAGAGGGTGCAGCATTTCCCTATATATGTGTACATACTATCTACGTATATATATATATATGGAGTTACAATCCATTGACACTCCAGACCCGTAACCTATACTACAACCTATAGTTTTATTAAACTCGAAATATCCTGAAAATGTCTGCGTAAATACAGAAAGTCGCCCGGTGATTTCGAAGGCGAATATGTTGTACAGTGGCTCACAGCTTAATTTGTCCGGAGGTAAATATTTATTAAATAGTTTTATGGCAAATCAATTTAAATAGCATACAAATAAATACAAAGACAGTTTTTCATATCTATACTTATTGAAATTTTATAGAGAACATTTACAGAAAAAAATGGTTTAAATTTAAACTTTCTAAAATATACATAGATGGAAAAGGAGAAACAATTTTAAGATGTTTTCTTTTTTTTTTTGATTTTAATGTTTTTTTATTGTCTAAGCTGTGGGTTCACTATGCTCTATATTTCCGACTCATATAATAACAATTTGTGTGCTATCTGTTTCTAAAAGTTTTCTTATTTCATCTGCGTACTCGAAAAAAAATGTTCTGAATAGTCAATAAAAGATTCTATCCTGAAAAAAGAAACTAAATTAACAGCTGGTTTAGGAAACGTATAAAAAGTAAACAAAGCGCAAACAGCTGATGAATGCACTATTTATTTTATTGTCTTTCATTAAGTTTTCTTCGAAGTCTGGGTGGCAAAATGCTTCAAAATATGGTTTTGGATACACGTATCATTGTCCTTATATTCTAATTAAAAAATCTTATTTCTGGTGCTGGTTGTTCTCAAAAATAGTGTCTACTAGCAAATGTCTAACTCTTAATCTTATATAGAATAGGTGTGATGTATTATTGCCTTAGAATTTTGCAATAGTGGTTCGTCTTTAACATTCAAAATGTTTGCTAGATCCTCAACTTTCTTATGTAGTGACCTCGGACCAGATTTAATCAGTATCCTCCTTTTTTTGCCCTTTGTTTGGACCCTTTTAGCGATTCTATCCCAATTCGTTTTGTGAGACTTCCACTACGGATATGACGAAGAAAATGATTTCATGGTAAGCCCCAGTATAAATTGTTCAGTTTATTCTTACAAATTTTCGAATTCTTTAAAATAATATTAGATAGCGGAAATTAAAATGTACAAATCTCATGGCGTTTTCAGTGATTGATGTTAGACAGATGTTGATCTGATTTCCTATAAAGCTTTGCCTTCACAAAACCAGGTTTTAACATTATCAAATTTGATTATCGTATTATAAATATAGTAAGGTGGTTAGTGTTTTCATATGGTCTTCTTACAGCCCAGCACATAACCAGCACGGAAAACCCTACAAAGTCACAAAAGATAACGTTTCTCTCAGATAAACGCATTCGTATCGTTACTATATGTGGCTTTTATTAAAACGAATTCCACTCAAAGTTAAATATAGACTAAGACTCGCATTTGCTGAACAGAGCTCATAAGCCAAACAATGGCGGACCTAATACATTTGGGAAATATCGACGTGGTCATCCAGAAAGATAAGCCCGGATCGCCAACGGGCTGTTCGGATGATGGGAACCTGGCAGGGCTAGGTGGCATGACTGGATTAGGTGGCATAATGGCCCCTGGTGGCATTGATTTGGGTGACTTGGCGCAGGAATTGGATCACGATGAGTTCGATGGACCCCATATGCTGAATGGTAAGTAAGAGTTCCGTGCATTTCTTGTAGAACTCATTTGAATAGCTTGAAGAATTTGATTTTATTTGTTCTTTCTCTTATATTTATACCTTTCTCCTACCAACTTTCTTTCCATACTTTTGATCAAACCCGAAAATCAGGTGAACGTCCAGCGATTATTGCTCCTCCGGAAAGCGAATGGTACCATGGACGACTTGATCGCTACTCTGCAGAGTCTCGCCTACGGGGAAGCAGTAAACTGGGCAGCTATTTGGGTGTGTATAACTTGGTATTCGAAGGTGAAAGAGTTGCTAAATACATTTTGTTTATTTCCACTTTAACGCTGAGCAGTTCGTGAAAGTGACCGCAAGCCTGGCTCCTATGTTCTTAGTTATTATGGGCGCACCGGCATAAACCATTTTCGGTAAGTAATTGATTAGATACCCATTAAACCCAATTGCTTTGATGGTTTCTATGTATATTTTTTTATATTTATTTATTATTGTCTTTGATAGGATTACAGCCGTGTGCGGAGACTTCTATATCGGAGGACGACAGTTCATTTCCTTAAGCGACTTGGTTGGTTACTATACCTCATGTAGTGACCTACTAAAGCGCGAACGCTTGGCCATACCAGTTGCTCCCCCGGAGCCAGTTAATGATAAGAAACGCGTCGTAGCCATCCTGCCTTACACAAAAATGCCGGAGACCGATGAACTGAGTTTCCAAAAAGGTGATATCTTTTTTGTACACAATGACATGGGCGATGGCTGGTTGTGGGTGACTGCCCATCGTACTGGCGAGCAGGGAATGATTTTCAGAGAACTTGTGGACGATCTGGATGTATCTATCGATCCAAATACGGTGTTTCCCTGGTTCCATCCGAACTGCACCAAAAACGAAGCCGTCGATATGTTGGTTAAAGGTGTGTATCTTTAGTTTATGGTTTATGACTTTAAAAGCAATAATGTTGAGATTCGACATATATGAGTCACGCTTTTGCGACACTCCACTTTAGGGTTCTCTGTTTTTATATGTGTATATGTAATTGAAACCATTTGTTGATCCTTACAGCTGGACCAGGAAGTTTCCTTGTTCGTCCAAGTGACAACTCACCGGGGGATTACTCTCTCTTCTTTCATATAAACAATCAAATCCAACGCTTTCGCATTGAGAAGAAGGGCGTGCGCTATTTAATGGGTGGCCGTACATTTGAATGCTTGGATGCGGTTATAAATCGATACCGCAAAGAGCAAATTGTGGAGGGCCACTCACTGAATCATCCAGTTGTGAATGGCATTCAGCCAGAGTTCAATCAGCAATATGTTGTGGAAAAGGCCGCTGAAAAAATCTATGCAACATTGCGCGAGTGCCGTGACCAAATCGGTCTCAAGAAGATTAAGGGAATCAAACATCACGGTCACTTGAACAAGAAGTCGGACAAAACGACGAAATGGAAGCAACTATACTTCGCTTTAATCAACGATGGTTCGGAGACGCAACTTTGCTTCTACGACAATCCGAAGAAGACCAAACCGAAGGGTCTGATCGATTTGTCCTGTGCTTACCTCTATCAATGTCACGATTCGCTGTGGGAGCGTCCCTATTGCTTCCAAATTGTCGAGAGGGCCCTGCCATGCTTGGCCACAGTGACATATCTGTGTGCTCCTAGTCAGGAAAGCTACGTCGAGTGGATTAATTCGCTCAAGGCACAATGTGATTCCCAGCTGAGTCGTGCCCAAAAGAAGGTCTCGCGTCTTCGGGAGCTTCGTTGTCTTAACCTGCATGTGCTAGAAGCTCATCGATTACCATTTAAACTAGTGCCACATCCATACTGCAGTATTTCCCTCAATCAAGTCAAAGTGGGCAAAACTCGTGTCAAAATTGCTCCCGAACCCGTCTGGGAAGAGGAGTTTGTGCTAGAGTAAGTCTACCATATCTCCGCCTGTTTGGATATTTAGTGAGTAATACATTTCATAAACTTATTTACTTGCAGCGATGTTCCTCCAGATGTTGTCTCCCTAACCATTACCTTAATATCGCGCGGCAAGCGCGGAAAAGACTCCGAAGTGGCCGAGCTGACCATTGACTTGTCTAGTCTGAAGAATGGCCAGGAAACTGAGGGCTGGTACCAACTCACTGGAATGACACCGATGGGCGAATGGGGCTCGTTGCGATTGCGTATGCGCTACCTCGACGATCTGATAATGCCGTGTGAAGAGTACAGTCCTCTGCAGCAATTGCTCCTTGAGTCGGAGCTGTATGCTGTGAAGGCGCTGGCTGAATTGTGCCATAATGATCGGGTTCCTTTGGCCACGGCTCTCTTGCGAGTCTTCCGGCAGGAGAAACGGGAAACGGAATTAATTCGAATGCTGTGCCAGGCGGAGGTGACGCGCGAAAACGAGACCACAACGCTTTTCCGAGGCGCTTCCCTGGCCACCACACTAATGGATCTATATATGCGCACCGAATGCAGCGGATTTCTGCAGTCGGCCGTTAGCGAAACAGTGCAGCGCATTTTGGAGAGTAAGCAGTCGGCTGAATTGAATCCAACGAAAATGGACGTCAACGATGATGCCTGTACGAATGCAGAGTTTCTGTTGCAAATCCTGGATCTGGTCACCCAGTCGATATTCACTTCACCGGACGCCTGTCCCCGCAATGTGCGTTTCATTTGCAGCTGTCTTCAGAAGGCTGTGATGGCTAAATGGCCGACAGAGCGGCTGGTTCGCACCCGCGTCGTCTCTGGCTTTATATTCTTGCGCCTTCTGTGCCCAGCGCTGTTGAATCCACGCCAATTTGGCTTGGTCAGCGAGACGCCACCAATGGCAGCAACTCGGTCCTTAGTCATGGTCGCCAAGTGTCTGCAGAATCTGGCGAACTTGATTGAATTCGGCGGCAAGGTGCGTGCGATTCTAGTCTAGTCAGTTATGTGATCAGCAACATAAAATACCATTTTTTAATTTTAGGAACAATACATGGAGGTTGTCAATCCGTTTATCTTGAAGAACAAGGAACGTATGATTGTTTTCTTGGATCAACTGTCCTCGGTCAACGATCCGAACCAACCGCTTGGAATGTTTGTCGAACAAAGTACAAATCTGAATTCTCAAGACACTGGTAATTATTTCTTGGTCTGATTGAACGTATTTTATTTATTGTTCATATTGTTTCATGCTTTTTTCTTTTTTTCGACTGTTTTACTTAGTTTAATGAATATATTTTCTAATTGAAATGTAATAGTATTAAATATACAATGACATGCTTTAAAATTATTCCAGGACGCGAGCTGGCTACCTTGCATCACATCTGCGTATCACATTCGCAAGAACTTCACGAGTTATCCAACATAGTTTCAATTAAGAAGCTGGTCACAGTTACGGACATGCTGACCAAGCACAAACTGAAGTACCGCGAGATGATCAGCTAAAAAGAATTGCGAAGAGCGGTTGATAGAAATGCGATGTCTTCTTATCTACAAGTCCCTTCATACCTTTTTATAAAAATATTTATATGTGTATACTATTAGAATACATAAAATAAGAACTCATAATAACTGGTTGAATTGTATTGGAATAGTAAACAGAATTTCATTTATAAAATTATTTATATGAAATGAAATAATATTTAACAGACCGGTATGCATTTATTTATTATTATAATTAAAGTAACTTATAATACACTAGCTTACACGGATTACTCCGTATAGCCGCAAACTCAGATATTAAAAATGGTTTTGCTTTTGATATTGTTTATAATTTTGTGTATTTTCGGCAAATGACAGATGGCGTCGGAATGCACATTTATCAAAAAATCAATACATTTTTTTTAAATAACGCATAAAATCGAAATAAATTAATGAATTCAAAAAGAGTGCAAAAGACTTCCTCTGAACAAATATACTGTGTTTTTGAATGGATCCATTTCGGTTGCTTGCTACTGAGAAATGTTTTTTGAATTCCTGGAGGCGATTAATGCAGTTCTTTGCGTTCTAAGGCGTTGCCATGGGCATGGAAAAGGCAAATATTTGCCTTCACAAATTCAGATGGATTAAATTGAACTACATATATTTTTCAAAGGAAACAACAGTTTTTTGTTTATATTTCCAGTTTCACTACTGATTTCTTAAATGTTAATATATTCATATTAAAAGACAAACAATAAAGCAACCTGATTTTTACACGTATATTTAGTATTTATAAAATATTACATATTTATTTTTTAGATTTAAATTTATTTACGTCCCTTCCCCTTGCGACCTTTTCCACCCTTTTCGCGCCTCTTCTTTGCATCCATCGACCGCTTGTCCTTCTTCTCGCGAGGATCCACCACCTTATAGCGACCCTTTACACCTGCTGGACGACGGGCGCGACGAGCAGCCGCTTGCTTCTTGGCCACCACATATGTGACCTCCTTCTTCTTCTCCTGGGCCTTTTTGTACACCTTCTTGAGCTGCTTGGACTTCTCGTGGTTGGTGGCATCGGTGTTCTCCATAATCTTTTCGGCCATCTTCTTAGCCTTGGCCAAGCGTTTTGTGGCACGACGGTGCTTGCGTGCCTTGGCCTCCATGACCTTCTTGATTGGGCGCACATTCACCTCCTGCAACTTGCGCTGGTACTCGGCGGTTAGTTCCTTCGGAACTGGCGTTGGCTTGGTCATATGCTCGTCCTCATCCAGTTTGAACCAAACGGGAACGTTCTCATCGTTGAAAGCGTAGCGGTTCCAGGCTGCGTCGATCAGGTCACGGCGTGTTTTCTTGTTGCGAGTTAGCAGTGCGCCCAGAGCCATTTCGTTTTCGGATAGGCGAACCTTCTTTGCGTTTGTACCTGGCAAAAGCAAATGAGAAATTAGGTTCAGGAATGTTAAACGTTTATTTTAACTCACCTGCAGCTGTCTGTTCGCCTTCGCCATCCTCGTTAGCATCATCTTCGGAATCGGATGACTCTGAGCTGCTGTCTTTAGCTGCGGCTTCATGGCGTGCACGACGTTTGGCCTTCTTTCCCTGGATAGCCTCAGCATTTGCGTCCGGTGTAAGGCTGCTCTCACCCAGAACGGAGACACCCTTGGCCTTGTATTCCTTGGCTAAATTGTTTAGATCGTAGGTTTCTTCGTCGTCATCTGACTGGATATTTTGTAGTACATCTTTCTCGTACCAAAGCTGTACGCGTTGCTCTCGCTTAGTGTTTTTATCGCGGAAATCATTAGATTTAATCAGCGGATTCTCGGAGCGCTTTTTCCTCTTGTTTTTACCCTTTGGATTGTCATCATCATCATCATCACTGAGACCCAGGCCCTGCTTATCATTGATTTGATCCTCATCTTCGGAGGCCTCGCTTTGTTCCCCATCATTGTCGTCGTCATAGTTTAGATCATCATTGATGTTACCCTCATCCTTGTCGAAATACTTGTATTTTGGCAGCTTTGCTTGCTCAGGTTGAGTTTCATCGACGGCAAAATCAGGTTGAACATCTAGCAACTCGTCGAGCTCAGCAGAGGTGTTGATATTCTTGAGGTCGAAGATTTCATGCTCCATTTCCTCGACTGGACCATCGTCTCCCTTGATCACCATGTTAAGGTTCATCTTCTCGTGCAATTTCGCCTTAGTCTTGAGCGTCTTCTTACGCTTACGCTTTAAATCCTTCTTCTCCTCTTCGACAATTGTGTCAATTTGCGTTTGCAGCTCGGCATCTTCCATGTCCTCGATTTCCGCTTGCGTCAATGGCTTGGGCTTCTCCTCTTCGGCATCGCCAACGACCAATGGGGTTTCCTTTTTAACGAACAGCTCCCTAACATCCTTCCACCATTGAACGAGTCCCTTGATATCCTTGCGGCCCAATAGCTTCAGATCCTTGCAGCACTCAAGGATCTCTGGCGTGGTCTTCTTATGCTTGGCAATGCGCTCATCATCGATGCGAATGGAACCGATGCCCTGCAGTGCAGCCAGAGCATTTTCAGCCTTCAGGAACTCTGTGGCAGCCAAATCGTTGCGCAGGGCAATATCCTGTGCCGTGTAGCCCTCGGCCTTGATGCGTTTCTGCTTTTCGGGATGCAGCAGACTGCTCTTTTTCTTGGCATCGAGATCCAGCTCCTCAAACACGTACTTCGAGTCCAGGAGACGGGGATCGATGTGATCGGGTGCCAGGTAGCCCTGACAGACGACGAATATCTCGGCGGATTCCTTACGCGAGGCACTCGGCTTGGTGGCGTGCACCTTCTTGAACAACTGCTTGAGCACCCAGAGCAGGGCATTGTAATCCTTGGAGCGGAAAACCTTTGTCACAAACCAGCCGCCGTTGCGCAGAAACTGTGTGCTCAACTTGAGGGCATTGAGGGTGAGGCAGATCTGCTGATAGGCATCGTACAGCCAGTTCCTGCCCACATTGGGAGCACCATCGTGGAGCACAACATCGGCCTTCCACGATTGCAGCTCCTTTGTCAGCGATTGGCGGCACTTCTCGGTGGTGATATCCTCAACGAGGCCAATGCATCCGGCAATGGGACGGATGGGGAAGAGATCCACGCCGATCACAATGCTGGATACTGGCATATTCTGCTTGGCCACCTGCATCCAGCCACCGGGAGCTGCGCACAAATCCAAACATACTTGCGACTGCTGGAGGAAACCAAATTTGCGATTCAGCTGGATCAATTTGAAGGCGGCACGCGATCGCAGACCCGTTTCCTTGGCCAACTGGTAGAACTTATCCTTACGGGTCTTTCCAACTTTCGTTTTCTTGCCCATTGCTGCTGGCTTTTCGTACAAACACGATCAAATAAAAACAAATTCAAATCAAATGTCGAATTCGTGCACGTGTTGCCAACAGTGTGGCCGTATTGAAAATTCAAAATATTCCGGGCTGGCAGTCATGGGCGTCAAGATAGCAGCGATTGAGTGCAGCACACGTGGAACGTGTTGAACGATTGTGGAATCCATTTGGGAAACGGTTGAATGATTTAAAAAGTGGACCTTAAAATGTACATATAAAAATTGGTTTAAAGGTAATTGCAAAAATGTACCACCCATTTTTAGGAATAATTGTAAAATGTGGTAAGGTACAATAAGCCACATTGATATTAAAATTAATTATTCAATTAAGATCTATTTGTGGCTGTTTTAATATTAAAAAAAGGTATTTTCATTGGTTTGCCCAGACACATATTGAAATTTATCTGTGAACCAGATGGTTTTTATACGAACGAACAAGAGTATCTACAGATGTTCCATCTCTTTCTATTACGTGTATAGTTTATCTGCGAGGGATAACGCCCATATCTGTGGCCTTTAAACAGGACTTTCCAAGTCAAAAAAATCAAATACCCCCTAAAACCATTAATTAATACTTCGTTTTGATTTATTAAGGTATTTGTGTAAAGTTGTGTATTTATATATTTTTCTATTGTTATCCAAAATGTTTAATGCAGTACCTTACTTACTGAAATACGTTGAATGGTATCATTTGACCGTAATGTGAGCGAAAGTCCGGCGAAGACATAAATTATTTATCAGTTAAAATTATAATCGTTTTTGTATACATTTAAATAATCTGTTTTCATATCCGTTTTAATTTGGGGCAAATAGTTATGTATGTATACTTCTGTCTAAGCGAAAGACGAATTAGTTCTTGGTTTTTATAATTCAATTAGGTTGGAGAAGTAGTTTTGATAGCAAAAAATCAATTGAGATTTAATGTAGTTTCCATTTAATGTGTAATACTTTCGATGATGTAAAAAGAAAAACATATGTTTTGGACTTTTAGAATAGTAGTAAATAAATGTGTGAAAAGTTATAAACTGTTAAATAATAGGACTCGTCTTTCGATAGAAATAGGACATTTAATTTATCCAAGACTTTTTCGATTTTACATTCAAAATTTTTGTAATTAGTTGACGTGTGCGGATAACAACAACATGTATTATTTATTTATCTGATATACATCGTATACATGGTTTAGTTTCGTATTTTCGTATTGTTCAAGTTTTAAAAATTTCGTACAGTTTTAAATTTAGTAAACACTATTTTGCTGTCGTATACGTACTGTAGCCAAAAAAGAACCGTCATAGTATGATTTACATGCAATATTTGTATATACCCGCAAATGTAGGTAAATGTATTAAAATATATTTATACACAGCTGCGGTCAAAATAATAGCCTTGAAACTTGTGCCTTCACTCGTTGTGAATATATTCGTATACTACCAGTTTAATCGAGTTTCTTTGCATATGTTTTCGATGGTTATAATATATATAAGCTAAGGGGGTTCAAGCAGAAAAAGTCACTGCATCGATAATTATCCCTTCTTAAGAACGCTGATAAAATTATAATCGCTTAAACGAATTATTACGTATTTATGTATTTTACAGTTCACATGCCACAAACATGCTTTCCATTTTAATCGATTGTGAAAAAGCAAGCAGATTATATTCGTTTACTTGCCGGGCAAATAATCTTAAATAGGCAATATTCAATTTACGACTTCTTAAAATATCCTGCATAAATTGTTAATTAGCAGGAGACTGCGCCAATCAGAAAACCATATCATCACCATGCTTCATTTTTTTTTTTTTATAGCAGGCAATGGTTTCCGCCAACCAAAATGTAGCAAGCACAAACTAGCTATTACGTATTTATATTCTACTCGCGTATGTATATCTATCGGAACTATATCTAAATTTAAGGGAATTTTAAACATATCTGACACGAAAACAAGGACAGCAGAATTAAAAACCCTTCAGGATTGTTGGTCTTAGCAAAGAAGCAAATATAAACCGCATTTTTTTGTTCAAAAGTGAACCGCACATAATTATGAAGAAACTGCATGTTAGATTTTCAGCGCAGTTATTTTGACCGCAACTGTATGAGGGATTCTCCGATTGGGAGTGGTTCACAGCCCTGATCCTCAGGGGCTTAGATCCTGGTGGAGATTTGGGTCGTAGCCGCCCATGCTGTTGTCGTACGGTTGCTGCTGGTCGTAGCCCCCAGATCCCATTGGATAGCCCATGGAATCCTGTGGCGGAGCGGGTGACATCATGGGTGTGGTTGTCCCGCTAGGAGGACCGGCCATGGAATACGGTGAAGCACCTGCGGCCTTCTTGGCCGCATACAAATTGGCCTCCTCCTGTGCCTTACCAATGTTCTTCTTATAGCGAATACGCTTGTTGCCAAACCAATTGGATACTTGCGAGACCTGCATGAGTGTGCGTTCATTTACAATGCTGTATTGCAATTGAACTGCATGACTGATTAATGTGAGTACTTACCGTGATGCCACACTTTCGTGCCAACTCTTCTTTGGCCTCTTCGGATGGATATGGGTTGCTCAAGTGACTATAGAAGTACTCGTTGAGGATCTCGGACGCCTGCTTGCTGAAGTTGCGGCGCTTGCGGCGTGCGTCCAGGAAACGCGATCGAAGGATCATCACAGCCTCGCAGGTCGACTGCTTCAGCTGCATTTGTATGGAACTAAACTTTTTGTGGATTATCTGCACCATTCGCTCGATTTCCTTTGGTGTAATGGGTCTGAAATATGATTGTATTAGCGAAATGATCCACATAATCATTATTTATCTTTATCCACCAACCTCGTGCGACTCTGTTCACGGAGAAGATTCATAACATGCGTGGTAAACTCATTGCATGCCTGCTCGTACTTCTCCAATTCCTGGTGATATATTTGACGGATCTGTGCCAGCTTGGCACGGTAGTCGGAATGCTCAATGGCATTGTCAGCACCATCGATGGACAGAGAACCACCCTGGCTGGCCGCAGCCGCAGAGGCAGCCGCTGCTCCGCCACCGCCCTTCTCAGGTCCTGCCACGCCCTCGGCAATCAGCATGTTGTCCAAACGCATCAGTTGTGGATCTGGGGGCTCCTCCTCCTGGGTGTTGCGAATCGAGAGGACTGTAAAATTTTGAGTAGAAAGGGGCATGGTTAAAACATTTACAAATTTGATATATATCATATGGTTAAACCATTTGGTTTTTAAAACATCACAAGGAAATAGGAACATGTTTACCTATTCTTAAACCTGAAGTTTAAACATTGTTTGATTAAGCATAAAAAATGTATAAGTCTGCAGTGTTCAGAGACTAGGTAAAACAATACAGAATAGGATGGTGGTTTTGAGATTGAATTTAAGGTTGTTACAAGGTTTTGAGCTTACCAGTCTTCTCTTTGATTTCGCAAAGTACAGAGAAAAGGGCCGGCTTCATTCGGTGACAGTTGAGTGTATGTTTTCTGGCCTGGGCCTCGTCAAGTGATTGTTCCGAGATACTCATTATCTGTTGCAATATCTCGCCGATGTCCTTCTGCTTGCGCACCTCGTTCTCGCTGCCGGCATTCTGGCCATCATCCTGGCCAGACAAGCCATATCCTTGCGGAGCCATCATGCCACCGGTGTGGGCCAACATGCGATTGGGATCCTCCATGACGCCGCAACTTAAAGCAAGCTACAAATCCAAGTTGCTGTAATCATACAGAACAAACAATATTAATAGCATACACGAAATTAACACGTTTTGACGTTAACTTCTCAGTTTGCTACAAATTGGTGTTTTTGAAACCAAAAAAAAAACATGGTAAAACCTTGAGTTAATGTATATTAATTTGAAATTATGCACTTAAACTAACAACGAATTAATGTATTACATCTTTTACTAAACAAAAAAAATCACATTTATTGAAGAGATACAAAAAAACCCATTAAGCCCACAAGCCCCACCACAAAATAATCCCCAGACATTTGAGGCAATATGAACAGACATTTTGGTATCCTATTGAAAATGCAATAATCTCCACCTGTCGCAATCTCATGAAGCGGGATATCTTTTGGGGGTGAAAAAGTATCTCAAATGCGTAGCACGAAGCTGGCCAGTTAACTGAGCTATTTCTATTTATTTATTTATTGTTGGGTGGCACAGTTTAGTTACATTTTATATACATATGTAGAGATAAATGACGCCGAGTGCATCACATACATACACTTGTACGTATGTTTAGTGACAGCAGAATGGTAAAAAAAAGCAACCTGCCTAGTTTATATTTACATACACACACGGTTATGGTTCAACATTTATTTTAATACAGTTCGAAAAGATCTTGTAGATTTTGCATTTACATTCTTGGGAATTTATTACGTCAGAAAAGATTTTAAACTGTTTATAACAAGGTGTATGTACATATCCACACATCGATATACATATATGCATGTAAGTATTGAGAAGCGTCCACTTGAAATTCCATACTCACGGTTTTTTATTTATAGTGATGCCTCTTATATTTATATGCCGTGCAAGTCGTATTTTGGGTTATTTTCACTACAAATTAGCGACACATTATTTGCAGTTGTAAATAACCGCAAGTATATAAAAATATTATCTTTTTTGGAATACAATGAAAGGAAAGTACGTTCTGTATACGCAGAAAAATAAATCGATATGAAAAAGTTTTCCAGTATTATAAGAATATCGATAAATACCAATTATATTAGCTAGTGAAACGTGGACAATCGATATTTTAACCGTAGTTATTTTTTAGTGCTTAAGCACTGGCGTATAGGTTTCAATATTATTTCAAATAAATATACCAATTTACAATTGACTTATGTCAGAAATGATTTAAAAAATACTTTGCAATAAAATATATCAGACATCTTCCAGAAATAAATTAAGGACCATGTACCATAAGTTGGTATATAAAATAAATAATTCTTTTTTATTTTTTAAAAGCTGACTGAACTTTATTTTAACTATGATACTAATATGTGTGATTCTTGCCTTAGTAATATAAATCTGTATAAATGATCTGTGGCTCACTATTTTTCGATCTTTTATTATATGTTTTTTCTTAAAAAGGAGCCTAAATAAATAAAAGCGAACGTGTGAAAAAACTATTTTACGTTTTCACCATGCACGGCCAATCGATAGTAATCGATTTGCAGCCCTATCAAAATCATTATGGTCATATTGTGCAGTGACGTAGAGTCGTATGTTCGTGAACTTTGGAGAAAATCAATTCCTAAACGGTTTATTTAGCAAAATTATTCATTTACTTTCATTGTAATCAGCTACGCAGTATAGAAAACTTGAGAAAAAAGGTATAGAAAAGTGATTGTGACCAAAACGAACACAACCTCAAAAGTTCAAATGGCGTGGCTTTCATCCATATGTAAATGCATACGTGCATGAAAATATACATATATATATATATATATATATATATATATATATATATATCTATACCAAATAATTGAGTTTTCCGTAACTTTTAGTAACAATGAGTCCAGTGTATATCGGGAAAAAGTTACTTTACTTCATGTTTACACATAAATCACGATTTAACAGTGTTTTTTTTTTGTTGCCCATTATAAAAAAGTACTGAATACATAAGTAATAGGAAAAAAAATATATATATACATATATAAATATATGTACTTGAATGTTAAATTAACCTTTTTTCCGTCGAAATTATAAGTAAATTTGAGCTAAATTAAAGTAATGTAAGAAATACTGAGTCTATGGAGTGGTATACATATGTTCGTTCATGCGCATTCCTAATTTTGTTTTCTTTCCCTTTGCAGAATAGTTGGGAGACCAAAATTAAAATTTTTTGCGATACATATGCGCCTTAAAAGCGTTACTAATATTTTTCAATATTAGCACGGAATAAAAGTTAACCAAAAAAAACATCAATTTCCCGTGGCAGTGCGATTTGTTTGTTTTTAATTTATCCATATATATTTTCCAAGTCAATTTGCGATTGACTTCACTAAGAATACCCGAGAGTACGATATCTTTGTCTAATTTGCGAACTGGCATTGCGCACCCCAAAGGAGGGGAAACAAAATCTTATATGACTTTTGAAAGATACGGTGGTAAGTAATAGTTAATCATCAACAATCCATTGAATCAATTTGTATCTAAGACACATATTTATCCCGACCACTGTATAATATCTTACTACTAACCAAGATCTGAATCCATCTAAGGTTACTTTAACATTAAAAATAAGCGTAAAAGAGTGAACACATTCTGAACCCACTTTTTAGGATACCATGGTATTCAGGGAATGCGAACACATTCGAGTATTTTATTTCTGAGAATTATTGTCATGTATCTAAGGCTTAGCCACTTGTATCAAGAAATGCATACTTTAAATCAGATTTCCAAGTATATCATTCGTATTACTACTATAGCAATCTTCACTATAGAAAACGGGTAAAAATAAAAAATATTTGCGATTCATTTTATATCTCGGTCACCCATTCACATGTAAAGAGCGTTGACAAGTCTTATTCATCGATTTTCTTTGTATTACAACGAACATTAATATTACCCAAAGAGAAAACATTTTTCGTGTAGAACAAGAAACACAACAAAAGGGCAATTCTTTGAGGAACATAAAAGAATTTCACATAATAATAATTTCACATAATTATTAATTGTTGGAAACAAGAATTGGGAATTGAAATCACAATCGTACTGAAATACTTGTCAGATTCGTAAATTTAGTTGGGCAAAGCATCAGAAAATATTTACCAGACTACCGAAATTCTCAGTGTAATTTTCCGGTTTCAAAAGTTAATATCTAAGATAAAATAATAAAATTGTATATAACTCGCTCGACCTCTGAAACCATTTGTTCAAAGTCTTGTTTTTAAAATTGACCTCGCATTGAAACCCAAAAGTTTTATAGTTTTATTTGCATTCAGCAATAATAAATAGTGCAAATCAGTGCTATGTTTTAAACTGAGTCCATGCTCAATCGCATTGACGGTTCAAGCAACATAAAGTACACTAAATACACTAAGTTCCCGTAAAAATTCCAATCGAATGCAGTTTTATGGCTTCAACGTTCGTTTATTAAATGAAATTACATTTCGTTTCATTTTTGTATTTTTCAGAAACACCAGCAAAAAAAACCACACTTCTCATTGAGAAAAAACGGAGTAAAGGGTTCGAGCTGTGCATGAATTCAAAAGGGCGAACCATAAGTCACCGGTAAGCAAAAATCACTGATGACCACATTGCTGATTCAAGTCGTACGAGTTTTATTGCAATTCACACACTTTGGGTTTCTAAGATAAAAAAATCTGGTATTCAAATCGAATTCGCTACTGTTTAATACGAATGTACATATGTGTAGTTTTCAGGGCTTATTTCACCTTGGCTCACATATGTAGTTTCAAATGCATACTATAATACCCGATAAGAATTGATTATATTTTCAAACAAATGGAAAGTAGTGCCAAATTGCAATTGCATTAAGCAATAAATTAGGATTTTCCTCGCTGTAGGAATGACACTTTGAAAGGGGTATTGGCGAAAAAGTGAGAAAACACGCCACAATTAAGTAATAAATTTCATTTTATTTCGTGTATGGTGGTAATCCTTGCATATTCGACTCAATTAACGAAATCTTTTACCCATTTGCATTCGCAGGACTTCGAGTAACAGACATCGGAAGTTACAGCCATTCAGGTACACATGAGCCTGCTGTTTTGCCATTTTTCTAAAGACTTAAGCTGGTAAATTTACAATACAAATAAATATATATATATATATATATATATAAATATACATATATATATATATATATAGATATATATATGTATATATTTAATTATTCATATGAAAACGGAAAAAATAGAATAGCTGAATACCTAACACGGCGAAAATAAACAAAACTTCAGCAAAAAACAGCAAAGCAATAACCTTGCAAAAGAACTATAAGAATATTACTCTCAAGCAATTCTAGCAGATTCTACAAATATATTGAGTACACCCGTTGTTTGATTAAGGCACAATTAATTCGCCGTTCCGGAAGGATACCAGTTCATGCTTATTCTGGGTACATTTGATAAGTGAGCAGCAGCGGCAACAACACAATAAAAGAACATTTAATGAACGGAAACGAAAGTTGGATAAATCACAAACTAGCAGAAAACCTGAAGCCAATTACTTCCCATCCACCAACAACCAATAGATACCACTGGCCACCTCTAATAGCAACATTACCCGAACAGCAATAAGTCCCAATAGCAGCATTATCCGTGGAACCCAAAACCTATCAAGATGGCCACCGTTAACGTAAACCGCAGTGTGACGGACATCTTCTATCGCTACAAGATGCCACGTCTGCAGGCAAAGGTCGAGGGCAAGGGAAACGGCATCAAGACCGTGCTGGTTAACATGGCGGAAGTGGCTAGGGCCATCGGACGCCCGGCCACCTATCCAACCAAGTATTTTGGTTGCGAGCTGGGCGCCCAAACACTGTTTGATCACAAGGTATGTGCACTGATAACGTTACCCATGAGCTATATTCTTATTAATCGTTAAATTTCATTCAGAATGAGCGCTTTGTTGTGAATGGATCGCATGATGTGAACAAGTTACAGGATTTGTTGGATGGCTTTATTCGCAAGTTTGTGTTATGCCCCGAATGCGACAATCCGGAGACCAATCTAACTGTGTCGGCCAAAAACCAGACCATTTCGCAGTCTTGCAAGGCATGCGGCTTCCACGGGCTGCTCAAAGTTAACCACAAAGTGAACACATTTATCGTGAAGAACCCTCCGTCGCTGAATCCGGCCGCCCAAGGATCTTCGCTAACCGAGGGCAAACGGTCGAGGAAGCAGAAGCAGAAGAACGATAACGCCGACGGCTCCATGACCAACAACTCTTTAGCCAACAACTCTGGCGGTGAATCAGATGGCGGCAATGGCACAAACCAGGCTAGCCAAACTGAGGCCGAGATTAGCGCTGCTATTCCGGAGAAAACAGCCAAGGATGACGACGATGAGGGATGGAGTGTCGATGTTTCGAAGGTACGCTGTTTTCTTCGTATATAATTATCTGAAAATATACACAAATTTATATATTACTCTACGCCCCCACAGGAGGCTATTCGTGCTCGCTTGCAAGATCTGACTGATGGTGCTAAGGGTATGACTATTTCGGATGACTATGATAAAACTGAGAAGGAGCGCATTGATATTTTCTACGAGCTGGTTAAGGACAAGCGGGACAAGAAGCAATTGGAGGATGTGCAAACACACAAGGAGCTGGTGATTGAAGCAGAACGTTTGGATATTATTAACAAGGCTCCATTGGTTCTCGCCGAGCTGCTTTTCACTGAAAACATTATCAAGGACGTGCAGAAGAATCGTCCATTACTACTTCGCTTCACTCTCAATAATCCAAAAGCACAGCGTTATCTAATTGGCGGAGTTGAGCAAACTGTCGAGCTGCATAAGGGTACACTGATGGGCAAGGTAGCTGGAATCTTTAAATTGTTTTATGATTTGGACATACTCGATGAGGCCGTCATACTGGAGTGGGCACAGAAGGTCAGCAAAAGACATGTCTCTAAAAATATTGCTGCCGAGATACACGAGAAAGCTATGCCGTTTGTTCTCTGGCTGAAGAATGCCGAAGAAGAGTCCTCCGAAAGTGAGGAGGAGGAGGACGAGGAATCTGATGAGGATAACTACGTTTCCAGTGCCGGCCAACGCGGCGGTCAACGTGTTGTTCCACGCGCAGTTCAACGCGCCGTTGCAGGTGATGAGGATGACGAGGACGACGTGAACATCGACGATATCTAAAAGAAAAAGAGAACAGCTACTTTCCTCCAATCAGAAATATTTTGGAAAGGGGAGATCCAGCTAGCAAGCGCAATCTACAATTCAAACTGAAATATAAATTAGCGAGTTAAATCAACATGTGGTTTTTTGATCTTTAATTCTTAAGAGTGCTAATCGTATTTTGATTTATCGCTTTACTATCATTCAATTGTTAGCATTACATTTCCCACGCCGCTGTAACAATAGAAAATAACTAAATTACACCAACACAAAAAATAAAGCAAAACAAAAATGAATAAGGACTTTTTTACTTAGCCTCTGAATGTACGTATGAGCAGTATTAATTCAGTTTAATCCGGTTATTGGATTACGTATGTATATAATAATTTTATGTATATATGTGTAATTTTAATCTACGTATGTAATCATTTTTAGCCGAATTATGCGTTCATGTGGGAATAGGGCATCAAATCTATTCTTACGCGAGTGATGCGCTTGTGTGAGAATAAGATATCTAAAGTAAACAGGTATATGTCAGTATATTTTTCTGGCGCAGTTGGTATTTTAGCTAGTGTTCTTCGGCGGTCATATCATACGCATCCCCTATAAATCGAAATAAGTTGAAGTTACATAAATAGGTATTAAATGTTTAAATGCACTCTCCCACCATAACTACAGATTTAATTTAGCAGGATCAACATGCTGCGTTCGGCGATGATGTCATCGACCCTGGCCCGGGCTCTTCAAAAGGCGACCCAGACACCGAATGCGTCGATTTCGGCGGTGCCCGCACTGAATATGGTCCTGGTGCGCCAACAACAAACGCTCCCGGTCGCCGAAGTGGCCCAAAATTTGCCCAAGAAGGGCTACTCTCCGTTCGGAACCAAACAGTCCTCCGTTGCGGAATGGTCGCTGGCCAGACTGGACGATCTGCTCAACTGGGGTCGCAAGGGCTCGATTTGGCCACTGACTTTCGGTCTGGCCTGCTGTGCCGTCGAAATGATGCACATCGCTGCTCCGCGATACGACATGGATCGATATGGTGTCGTGTTCCGTGCATCTCCCCGTCAGGCCGATGTCATCATCGTCGCGGGCACGCTGACCAACAAAATGGCACCGGCTCTGCGAAAGGTCTACGATCAAATGCCTGAGCCACGTTGGGTCATCTCCATGGGCAGCTGTGCCAACGGCGGTGGCTACTACCATTATTCGTACTCTGTCGTCCGCGGCTGCGATCGGATAATCCCCGTCGACATATACGTACCCGGTTGTCCGCCAACCGCCGAGGCACTCATGTACGGCGTTCTGCAGCTCCAGAAGAAGGTTAAGCGGATGAAGACGCTCCAGATGTGGTATAGGAAGTAAGGCAACGATCGGAACTTATATTTAAAATGTGAAACATCAAACGACATACGATATTGCGAACAGAAATCATATTAAATATCGTTCTGTTAACGTTCAGTTGTTGTATATATTGTTTGTTGGATCACAAGGATATTGCAAATAAATGCCTTTCGATATAAATACAAATATTCAAGCTGTGCTTCTGTATCCAAACGTCAGCTTGAGTCGTGCGTTTGCCAACGGTCGTGAAGAAAATATCGAAAAAGTTATGGTTCCCTTCAAAAGGAGCCTCCCTTTTTTTTATAGTGAATTGTATACACACCCATATCATTTAGTTGTCATAGGAACGATCGCACCAACCACAGGACAATCTGCTATTTTCACTTTTTCTGTATTCATTTCAAGGTCCTGTCGTTGTCGGAACACAAAGTGCAAAAATATAAATTCAGTTTCAAGTTTTTAAAATAGTTATATTTTTTAATTGGCAGATTTTTAACGCAACGGCAGAGTAAGCAAACCCTTAAAATACAATTTTTCATGCTAATGTCCCAATAAACCCAAAAGAAAGTACAAAAACAAACAAATATTTGTATAATTTACATATGCAATATAATTGGGCTAGCCATTAACTAATCTAGTGAATTCTGCCCAAGACTATTCTCCTCCATTTCGGTACTGGAAAGGCTTGGCGACAAGGTCGTGGATCTAGAGTTGCTGGCAATCCCATCCAGATTATAGTATTTAACTATTAGCTGTGGTGGTCGGTTGGAGATAACCTCGACGATTTGATTCACAACCCATTTGGTCAATTTGATGACAGCCACGTGTGCCGCAAACTGCAGGATCATGGCTCCAAAGCCCTTGTAGAGGCCACTAACTCCTTCGGATACAATTGTTGTCTGAAAGCAATCGACGACTCCTTGATAATTTGTTAGAATGGGAACGACATCGTAGCCATTGTCGAGGTTATCGATTATAGTTCGTGTTCCCTGCAATTGCAGACGGTGTAGAATTGTTTCGAACGGGAAGAATATGACCTCAGTGGTTAGGATAGCAATAAGGCTGGCATAGATTTCCCCATTCAGATGCTCCAGCGTGGTGTCCTGACTTTTTCCACTCTGGCCGTCCTGGGAATTTGTTATACGCCACCGTATTATGCGCGAGGACACGCCCCGTATCACAAGATTGAACAGATACTTGGTGATGCCAAAGGAAACACTTGGCCCGATCAGAGCCCAGGCTGGTAGCATTCGGCCTTTTTGCGGGGAGCTCCAGTACAACAATCGCAGACTTCCCTCCCGGAATACATCAAAAAGACCGGGTTTCTCGCTGGCAATATCACTCTGCACCGTTTCGACGAGAGAAGCTGCATGGAAGGGCACCACCAGACCGATGCTTATGCTGTGAATTGAAAAGGAATAAGGGAATGCCGGACACTAGGGTGACAAATGGGTACCATTTGAGCAGGACATGCTGTCCGAATCGCTTCAGCGTAGTGCGGCTATCCACCTCCTTGGGCCAGCTGGTCACCTTCGAGATAAAGTCGTCGATGGCCAGCGTCATGCCGCGCACCAGCAGGCAGCTGCCCACGCCCTTCCATAGAGTC